CACGGTCCTTGCACAGGTTCTCCACCTTGTCAATCACCTCGTTGCCACCATAATACCGGGCCCCTGGCTGTCCCTCAGAGTACTTGTTGGTCAAGGCCGACCCGAGGCACTCCATGACGGCCCTTGAGGTGAAGTTCTCCGAGGCGATGAGCTCGATGCACTTCATCTGCCGCTCCTTTTCGGCCTGGACCAAACCTGCCATCACCGGGTCTGCCTCACTGAGCGGGCGGTTTCCGGACAGCACGGGACGAGACATGGCGGACAGGAAATGCCGGGGAAGGACGAAGTCGCGAGGACGCTTTTTGGCCTTGAACTGGTAGCTTGGCAAACGCGAGGCGCCCACGGATGATCATGGGTTCACATGACATTGCACGACCTTACCATGCTGGCAAGCTTAGGGAAGATATACCAGTCAGGAAGGAGCCGCAGCAAAAAGCCCCGCCTCATCTGGAACTAGCTCCTCCAGTCGAAGCCGGAGTGACCTCGGAAAAAATGCGTTTGGAAGCCGAACAGCCCCACATTCGCGCGAGCCGTCTGCGCTTGCTGCTCTTGACTTAAGCCCGAAACCCCTTCTTGTGGTGATAGGTCTGCCACCCGCAACACCGAGATCCACACGGGTCCTTGTTGAGGAGGCCCCGGATGACAGTCACCATGTCCTCAGGTGATCCAGAGCACGCTGATTGCGGGGGCCATGTACAGATTGGAAGCACAGCTTTCGCCCCTGCACACGAAGGCCAACAGGTGTAGCATCAGCACCAAGCCCTGAGCTGTAGATCCGGGAACCCTCAACCCATCTCAAGTCCAAGTTCGCACATTCGACTGCTACACTCGCCTTGAACCTCCTGAAGCTCTCCCCTCGCAGAGGGTCCTACTTGTCTCAAGCCGCAACCGAGACATCTCACGTTTGGGTCACATCCGGTTCGGCACGCTGCCCCCGCCACACCGGATGGAGGTTCTTAACCCTTAGGGTAGTTGCAAGGGCCCTTAGTCTAAGTAGAGGCCCTCGAACCTCCTAGGAAAGGCATATTGTGGGTATACGCAAATGGGAAACCACCTTAATTTCGGAACCCCCCCTATAGGGCTCCGCATCCAAGCCCTTAGGCCCCCCTCCGGGCCCAGGGGCCGGCGGCGTCTCCGGTGGAAGCTCCGGCGGGTCGTGCTCGACTATCTGCCAGACCAAGGCAAGCCTCCGCTTTTAATAGGGCTCTTGGGACTTCCTTTTTGTTCTGCCTTCGGGCTCAGGGTTTTGGGATCTGGAGGGCAGAAGTTTTGAAGATCTTCTGGGGCCGCACTGCGCTTCAGCTTGCCTCAAGAGTTTTGGGAGGTGAGGGCATGACGCTCAACTCCATGGGACTCGTGCCCTGGGTGTTGCTCTTCCATAGGCCGACAGCTCCGACCACCCTAAACTCCCAAGTGCATAGGGCCAAACTAGCGCTCCACAACTCCACCGCGATCAAACTTGAGAGTTATTCTGTTGAGACGCCCTGTCTTTCTTTTTCTTTCGTGGGGCAATTGGGCGAACCGCTCCTGGCCGCTGCTTCGTCTTCTTCTTCTTCTTCTTCTTCTTCTTCTTCTTCTTCTTCTTCTTCTTCTTCTTCTTCTTCTTCTTCTTCTTCTTCTTCTTCTTCTTCTTCTTCCTCTTCCTCTTCCTCTTCTTCTTCTTCCTCTTCTTCTTCTTCTTCTTCTTCTTCTTCTTCTTCTTCTTCTTCTTCTTCTTCTCGCGTAAGAGGGCCCCCCTGTCTCTCACTCTCTCTCTCACCCTCTCACCCTCTCACTCCTCTCACTCCACTCACTCCACTCACTCCACTCACTCCACTCACTCCACTCACTCCACTCACTCCACTCACTCCACTCACTCCACTCACTCCACTCACTGCACTCACTCCACTCACTCGTCTTCTTACTGAAGCCTGGGCTCTCGTAGGGCAGCACTTAACTTAGGGTCACGCCTGACACACCTAACAGGTGCGAAGCTCTTTGCCTCGGCTCCGCGTGTAGTGCTACGCCTACTTCATCCCACCCCAGCATCCCTGCCGCATCCCTGCCGCATTCTCTCTCTCCCTCTCTCTCTCTCTCTCTTTTCCTTCCTTCCTTCCTTCCTTCCTTCCTTCCTCTGCACGTGGCCCCATCAGGCGAGGGGCGTGCGTAGCTTCTCTCTTTCTCTCGTTCTCTCTTTCTCTCTTTCTCTCTTTCTCTCTTTCTCTCTTTCTCTCTTTCTCTCTTTCTCTCTTTCTCTCTTTCTCTCTTTCTCTCGTTCTCTCGTTCTCTCTTTCTCTCTTTCTCTCTTTCTCTCTCAGTTCAGGGTTCAGGAATGTTTGTACTGTAGGTCTTTCGGCTTGGGGGTTGAGTCCTCTGTCATGTGAGAGCCCTGAGGGCGCGGGGTGCAGACCAACAAGCAGACCAAAACACCCCCTCAAGGAATTCGTCCAAGGAAGCTGATTCGACGCATCGAAAGGCCGCTTCAATGATGCCAGCTCGAAAAGACCTTTTCTAGCTGCGTCTTCTGTCTGGGGTTCTAAAGAGCCTGAAAGAGCACTGCAGTCACATCAGATCCTGCATGGCCCGAGATCACATGCCCCTGATGCAGCTGCTACATGACAGTTCCCCCACTGCCCACTCCAAAGTTCTCAAGCGTCTCGTTCACACGCCCAAGGTCCGTTGTGACCTATTGCCGGCCGAGCGGCAGGCACCCAAAGCCCAGGCGTCAGCAGCAGTTCCATAAGGCCCTCGGTTGAAGCTTATTTCATTGCGCCCCCCCCCCCCCTCCGTGCTGTTTCTGCATGATGCTCTGGGCCTTTTGAGGCCCTTGCGTGTTATACGGGCCCTCCAAGCTTCTCCCAGATCCTCCCTTGCACACCCCCTCAAAGATCCCAAGCACCCTTTGCAAAACCCTTCACGCCATGTCTTGCCCAGCCCTTACTTGCTTGCTTGACACTTGGCTAAGCAGCACTGCGGGGTACGAGAGGGCTGAGGTTACGGTTCTTCAGGGAGAAGTGGCCCGCGCTCTTTTACCATAGGATGGACGTATCATGAACAAAGCGGTTACTTGCTGTGGCAACTTGAGTCTTTTTAGCAAGCCAGTCCTGTTCACACACCCAGCCAAGCCAAGACGGCCTGCGTGGAGACTGCACAAGAGACCTGCGTTTGGGAGCGGTGTGGAAGGCTCCTGCATTGGAATCCGTTCAAGACCCGGCATTTTTCAGTCGAGCGTCTGCCCGAGACAAGCTCGGGCGACATGTAGGCCGGAGTTCCCAGCACAGTGCCTGGTGCAAGCCGCCTCCCTTGACTTTCTGCTCTAAGAAGTCCTCTCTCTAGACCGGGGGGGAGGGGGAAAGAGCAGCGGAGCAAAGTTGTCTGCAACCTACAGCCTCACAGCACGAGTGCAACTCACTATGGGCCTGCGTGGCCGGAGGCTTCGAGAATCTTGGAGATTCCAAAGTCTGCCAACTTCACTTCGTGCAGGCTGCTGCTGACGAGGATGTTGGGCGGCTTGACCTCGCCATTTACAATTTTGCACACACACACACACAGACACACATATATATATATATATATATATACATATGGTATATATATATATATAGTGTGTACACATATATTCAGAAAGGCGTATATGGCCAGTTCGTCAGTTCTCAGAAGTATGGTCCCTTTTGGGTGCTACCCCCAGAAGGGACCAGAATATCGAGAAGTGACCACATATGCTCTCTCGGTGCTCTTGGTTCTGCTTAGGGCCAGCCGAAACCCTAAACCCTAAAAACCCTAAACCCTAAACCCATCAAACCAATCCTTAACCCAGTTGAGCGGCATCTCGGTGGAGTACTCCTTGGGAGTGTATATAGCAAAGGGCGCCGCCGACTGTGGAAAGCACATGCCTCAGCCACTTGAGACATCAGGCCAGAAGGCTGGCGGACTTGTTTCAAACATTCTTGCGCCTACTCAGATCACGAACCCTACATATCCTTGGGGCGGCATGGGTCATCGTGCGTGATCGCGACTGGCAAGGGTTGCAGGATACTGTTGCGCTCTTCTCGATCTTTTGGTTTTGGGGGCTGTCAGTCGCAAATAATTGCGACTGCGTACAATGCCGAATAACACAAGGATGTCCACAGGTTTACTGGGCACAACCTGGGTGTCCTTGCTGCATGACAAGCTGGCCACCGCAGGCATGTGCCTCGTGCGCGGTATGTACTGTCGACATCCGATTGGTCGCTGCAGCGGCATCGCGCCGCAGCTGCAGGCACGGCTTTAAAAAAAGCGCGCGCCGGCTTAAGGTTCCTCCTTCGTACACAAATAAAGCGGGCGGGATCTCCATCGAGCAATCCGAAGACTTGCAGTTGAAGCCGAGAACTCAAAAGCTATCTCCCAAAGCTGGTTCTGTTTCTATATAGTCTATATATATATATATACATATAGTCTATATATATATATAGTCTCTATACATATAATATATATATATATACGATTGATCCACCTCAAAAAAGCCACAAAGTGAGCGGACACTCTGCGGCATGTCAGATTCCCTGTACAGGGCGGGCCAAAACACAGGTGCCGGATTCCAGGTCTCCATGCAATGCTTCTGGCAACATACCACGCTACGTCATCTCTCTTCTCGTTCTGGAGATCTAGCATCCGGCGAACGCAATGTCAGCAAACTCCCACATAAGTACCAGCGACGTTTGATGCTGGCATTAAAAGCCTGCATGGATTCAGCGGTCTATACATCAAGTACATCTGGGCTGAGGAACTCGGGCCCATCAATTCACAAGCACTGACACACAAGACTGAGTATTCTCAGGCGACCTGCACGTGCTTCTCTTCCTCGGATGCTGTGAGGAATGGCATCCAGTGACATCTATGGCTGTGACCGGACAGTCCTTCGACCAGGTGGATCGGCAGCCACAGCTCCAAGGGCTGTCGGCACCTCACTTTGGCCGAACATGTTGTCACCGAAGCAAACAAGATGCCCAGCGGCTTTCAGCGCGCATGTGTGGAGGTATCCTGCTGCCACAGATTCCACGGGACCCAGTCCAGCCGGCACATCACACTGAGAGGCACTGTTGTTCCCGAAACACACCAGCTGCCCGTTTGCTTTCACTGCGCAGGTGTGCTCCTCTCCTGCAGCCACAGACGTGACGGGGCCAAGATCTGCGGGAACGTCGCAGCGGCCATAGTCATTGCTCCCAAAGCACACAAGCTGGCCGTTTGCCTTCACAGCACAAGTGTGATACCACCCTGCAGCCACAGCTATTGTGGCACCGAGGTCGGCAGGCACGTTGCACTGGCCGTCATCATTGAAGCCGAAGCAGACGAGCTGTCCATTTGCCTTCAGCGCGCAGGTGTGGTACCAGCCTGCTACCACGGCTGCAACCGCACCCAGGTCTGCGGGAACATCGCACTGGCCAAACCGGTTGTCGCCGAAGCAAACCAGCTCACCGTTGGCTTTCAAGGCGCAGGTGTGCCCGCATCCTGCTGCCACTGCCACCACTGGCCCCAGGTTCGGAGGCACATCGCACTGCTTGAACCGATTGTCTCCGAAGCAAACAAGCTGGCCGTCTGCTTGCAAGGCGCAAGTGTGGTCCAAGGCAGCGGCCACGGCCACCACGGGCCCCAAATCCGGAGGCGCTGTGCACTGGCCGCAGGCATTCCGTCCGAAGCAAACCAAGGACCCGTTTGCGTTCAGTGCACACGTGTGGTCACACCTTGATGCAACAGTGGATTGAGATCGAAACCGAACAGCCAGAAAAGGCATGATTTCGCTAACAAGCATGGGAGTGAACACTTTCGCGGCCACACCATCCTGCTTTTGCGAGCTCACGATGATCCAGCTGAGGTGGTGGAGGTCCTCCTCCAAGACATGTAGATCTTGTCCAGGCAGCTGCATCCAAGCAGGATTCCGCGTCAGTCGACTCTGCAAAATGCTAAGAGTGAGAGACAGAGTGGCTGCAGGGACACAAGCACACTTCGCCAGCACCACCGGCTCTCAAGCAAAAGCCCTTTGTCAGCTTTGACCCCTTTTACTTGAAGGTTCCAGCATACTTATAAGTAGGGTGTTCAGGGCCCTAAATAAGGTGAGAACCATAGCTGCCCTAGTTATAGCCCTACTTATAAGCACCCATGAACCTCCACGTATACACGCTTAGCGCAGCTCTGCTTTAGCACGGGACACTTACACCCACCTGATCCCCGTCCAGCCGGAACTGCACAGGACGCCCGAAACCCTAAACCCTAAACCCTAAACCCTAAACCCTAAACCCTAAACCCTAAACCCTAAACCCTAAACCCTAAACCCTAAACCCTATAAACCCTAAACCCTAAACCTCTAAACCCAAAGCTTAGGATTCAAGAGCTTCCGACTGCCGCAGTCCCAGATGCTGCAGGAAGGGGCCCTCAAAAGGCGCCTGACCAGCCTGCCGCCGTGCTTTGATCCGATTTCCCAGATCACCTGACGGTGTACCCCTAAACCCTAAACCCTAAACCTTAAACCCTAAACCCTAAACCCGAAACCCTAAACCCAGAAAAAAAATGAATAAATAAAAATAAAACGAGCGGTCTCTAACCTTTTGGGTTAAAGCCTCCCTTGGGGGGGTAGTTACATGGGCCCTTAAGTATGGGCCCTTAACTTTGGAACCCTTGTATAACCTTCATATACCCTATACGAAACAAGGGCCCCTACTTCGAACCCCTTCAAGGAAGGAAAGGGACCATACTAAGGGACCATGTACATAGCCTTTGAGTTTCGGGGCTTCGGGGCCTTCAGACTATGAGCCGGCCGGCTTGCAAGGGCAGGCGATGCCTCCTCAAGCCACCAACGAAACCGGGAGAATGCACGTGTTAGGATGTATATGAGTGGTTCTTTAAGTTAGTGTTCTTTTGTTTTTTTTTTTTTTTTTTCGGGGGGTCCTTTGATAACCCCAAGAGGGCTTCAGAGGTCTCGGTGGGTCAGAACAACATCAACTCAAGACCGATGCCCGAACCAGCTGCACGGCTTCCAAACACACGTTACTACTATTTGTTTAAGAACCCCCCCCCCCCCCCCCCCCCCCCCCCAAAAAAAAAAAAAAAAAACACAAAGATAATAATCCGCATGTTACCCTTATAAGTTAACTTATAAGGAAGATTTGTTGGTTCTCAAGCAAGTTGGACAGCCCCGACTCAGGACATCTTGTTACAGGGTTTGGAAAGTGCTCCAAGGTCCCCCTGGGCGCCACCCCAACCCCTCTCAAAAAAAGCCGACCTAATGCCGGAAAGGCGCCACCGTCCATGAACTCCAAGGCGAGCCACACGCACTTCCGAGGCGGATCGAACCTGGGGCCGGCCCAAAAGCTCTTGGGGGACCGCTTAGGGTTCAGGGTTTAGGGGTTTAGGGGTTTAGGGGTTTAGGGGTTTAGGGGTTTAGGGGTTTAGGGGTTTAGGGGTTTTGGGGTTTTGGGGTTTAGGGGTTTAGGGGTTTAGGGTTTAGGAAGGTCGTTTTCGGACCCTCACAACACAAGCTCCCCGACGCCATGGATGCAAGCAGATGCCGTCCAGGTGCTGCACATCGTGACACGTAACGATGTGAGGGTGTCGGAGACGCTGCATCAGTTGAGCCTACGGCCGCTATGACACTGGGCCCACACTCAACAAGAAGGCATTCGACTAAACCCGCCGGTGGGCACTTGAAAGTTGACAGAGTAGGCTTGCAGGTAGGTTGTTGTTAGGACAGCCCCTGGCTGTTTGCCTGAGCCTGCAGAACTTACCTTTAAAAGGTTCCAACCTCTTACCCCCCAGGATTCCAGTAAAAGAGCGGGGGGGGGGGGCTAAGAGCTGCCAGCCTCGGCCATCGTGGTATCGGCTGCTTTGGCAGCCTCATCGTCGTCGAGGTGGTCGCATGGAACCAGTTTCAGCGCAAACCTGACGACTTCGGCTTCGGGGCATAGGGGCTTCGGGTTGGAACGAAGTGGTAACGGACGCCTGAGAACCCTAAACCCTAAACCCTAAACCCTAAACCGTTTGAACGGTCGTCCTGCTGGCACCTATTCTGGCAGCCTTGGGCTCCAGCGCCTTGCAACTGGAAGCAGACGGGGCTAAGAGGTGAGTTACACCCTACACCCGACCTCAAACGGTTGTTCCCTCAAGCTGGGCAGACTCAAAAGCCGGTTGCAACCCGAACCCTCAGCCCCAAACCCTAGCCCCTAACCCTTCAACCTAACCAACAGCCTTGGGGGCCTAAACCCTAAACCCTAAACCCTAAACCCTATAACCCCTAAGCCCTTGCATTGGGCCAAGCCGCTGCTGAAGCCCAGAGGTCTGAACAAGAAGCCTCACTGGCCATCATGCTGTTTGCTACTATTTGCTTCAGAACCTTATGCCTATATTCCTCAAGAAGTTGTATCTTCTTGGGGGGGGGAGGGGGTGTTCTTATGCAAATAGAAATTTGGATGTGAAAGGGCCAACAAGTCATCATGTATTCCTAACAAAGCACGCCCGTACTGCTCCACACTAGCTTTCCGGCCTGAAATTAAGGACTATTTCCTCTTGAGGCCTTATGGCTGCTGCCTTGTCAACGCGAGTCGTCAACTCTACCACTGCCAAACAGAATCCGTCGGAAGGGCCGGTGTGCAGCTTGTAGCGCGTGCGCGGGGGCGCGGGGGGGGACACTTGTGGAAAGCTCTTGGGCCGAGTGGCACAACCCCAAAGCTGCCACGACCGAGAAGTTGCTGGACCTCATAGTCGCCAATCCGCTCACCGGCGTGAGCGAACATCGCCCGAGCGCATGCTGCTCAAGGGGCTGCCCATTGCTGCTAGGGCTTCGCCGGGTGCACTCTCCGCTCTGCTGGATGCTAAGCTTTGTGGCACTGCTCTCTGCACACTGCAAGTCAGCTTGCACATGCAGTACAGCTGCTGGCTCCCTGTCTTGCTTCACTGCATAGCTCAGTGCTACATTCCAAGAATTCCGTAGGGAGGAACTGCGTTTGCCTGCCGGGCCCTCTTTCTCATGCCAGGCCGTGATGTCTAAATTGCCTGCCTGAACAGCAAAAGCTGCCTGCAGTTCGGACAAGCATCCAGCCATGAAAGCATGCCTCCTATAGAAGAGAAGACATGAGAATGCCCACCTTATCTCGTTTCCATGTCAAACCTACCCCAACTTCTCCGGACTCTAGTGCTGGGCCCCACCCTGTCCGCCTGCGCCCCAGGCTTAGCAGCGCCGCACCAGGCGCACCATGGCGCAGGGAGCAAGCTGAAGGGATTCTGAGGTTCCAAGCTCCTACGTACAAGGGCATACACAGGCCCACTAGAACTCAATAGAGCGCCTGCTCGACACCTACCACGTGATACCATTGTGTCGGTCGTACACTTTCTGGGGAATCCCCGAGGGTGTAAGGCTTCGGGATTCGGGGGAGATTGCTGGGATGCAAGACTCTCGAAAGCAGGGTGGGCCCTCTGTCTTGTTAGGTACCCTAAGCTACAAGAAAGATGCTCGAAGGAGTCGCTCATAGGGGGATAAGGAGTCTACTGCAAGGAGTCCACGTTCGTGGCCCCCAAAAGGGCCCCCCCAAACTGCAGCAGAAACACCTCAGAAACCTAAGTAAGGTTCCGCTGAACTTTACACGTAGCTTCTGTCACTAGACACCAATAATCGCAAGATCGTGGGTGAGCGGTTAGCAAGCGAGTGGTGGGCTGCGCAAAACCCTAACCCTAAACCCTAAATCAGCGTTTTAGATGGGCGGCATCAGCGGGGCCACCAATTGGTTTGCGTTCGGCCAGAAAGAAGGGGGTCCGCGGCAACAGCGCCTGCCAAAACCAGATCTGAACGGAGCTACCTGGAACAAGCTGGAGCTGTTTAAGGTCGCTGCAAGACGATACCTGTCTCTCTACGGCGTTTCGTGCGAGGACGATACCTCCCATCATAGCTGAAGGAGGTTCGAAACAGCTTGGGGTCCTTGATCGCCCGGCATTGAGGCCCCGCGTGCCTTTTTGACGTGTGGAGAGCATGTTCTGCGAGCCGGAGCGCGACCGCAAAACCACAGGTTTCGGGTTTTAGGCAGCCCCAAACCTTTACGCTTGAAGAGGCTTGTCAAAAAAACAAGTCGCTCGCTGGCGGAACATCCAGTTCTAGGGTTCTTGCTACCCAAATGGGCTTTATTTCGGGCTTGGGTGCAGGGCTTGAAGTTTAGGGCACCGCACAGCCCCTGCTTTCTCCTGTCAAGAACAGGCTCTGTTGCACTGGTGCTAAACGTCTTGCATCTGCTTGCCTCCGAGCTTCTTCGAAGCTGGCTGTGCGGAGATCTGGGCACGCGCCCGGATTCGTTGCAACGTGAAAAACCAAGACATCCAGATCTCAGCAAAGCGGGCCGCGGGCCCGTGTTTCTAATTCATCACCACCGCCTTGTGCCAGGAGCCATTAGGTCAGTCACACGCTGCACGTAACGAATACAGCGTGTATAGAAACCCTAAGCCCTAAACCCTAAACCCTAAACCCAAGAAGAACAAGCGAGATCGCCCCTGGCACCTACTAGTCAGAACGGCACTGGCAGTTCTTTGAGAACACGCTTTGGCCACTGCCGGGGGAAGCTGCCGAGGTCCCTTTTTGCGGGCACCTCTCTTCTAGCAATCTACTTGGAGGTTCCTGGGTAGCTAAATGTGGGGGTGCGTAAGGTAACTATAATTAGAACTGGCTATAACCTTACTTAGGGTACTTATCACCCTGCTTATGACTACCCACGAGCCTGCACGTAAAGTAACAAGACCCGTGTCTGAGAAGAAAGCCTCGAAGTGTCGCTTGGGCACCCGAAGCATGATACACTGGCCACTCGGAGGTTCGGCAACACCGGCCGGAATTTTGGATGTAGGATCGGGATGTGCACGGGCAACTGGCAAAGTTCCTATTACAACAAACTATGATCCCCCCCCCTGCTTCTAAGCTGTGATGTTGCTCAGACATTCGAGCGTTTTAAGTGCTAAAGTGGGGAACTTGCAAATAGCGGCCCCGTCGCCCTCAATTCCTATCAACATGGACACAAGGCCCGGACAGCAACAGAAATTCAGCAGGTATGTAAGGATTGAGGGTTTCGGTCATCACGATCTGATTGGTTCAGGGTTTAGGGTCTGTTCCCGTCCTATCATCCTATCATCCTCAGCGATGGCTCCAGTGCCAGAACTGCTACGAGGCCTCCGCAAGGCCCGTTGCTACCCTAAGCTCTCAACCCTAAAACCCTAAACCCTAAACCCTCAACCCTAAACCCTAAAACCCTCAACCCTAAAGAACCTCCAAGTAGGTCTCTAGGGCTTGCCCGCCGCCACTTCGTCGGCCATCACCTCGGCACAAGGTGGTTCTCTTTGTGGGGGGCACCTCGAATCGATGCCTCTCGCCATCGAATCGGCGCCCCTCGCCAAAGGTGCCCGAAACCCCTCAAAGCACTGAACTGCTTGACCTTACGGGGGCCTTAATTGGAAAAGGGTCTTGCGCGGGGTCTTATAGCATCACAGCATAACCATATAGGGACCAGAAGGGATCCTCGAATACTACAAGTATTTGTAATTAGCCCGACCCCTGCAGTAGCCCCTTCTTGGCATCCCTTCGCCCCAAATTCTGCAAAGAGGACTCCCTTCCTTGCCTCCACAGCCTCCGCGACCTCTTCCACCACGCTGTGCTCCCCGAAACTGCTCCAGGCCTTGAGGTCCTTTTCACGGGCGGTTTAGGGTGTGGGGTTTGGGGTTTGGGGTTTAGGGTTTAGGGTTTAGGGTAGGTGGGGGCGGGGTGAGGGGTTCCCCGACGTTCCGTGCCAGGCACCTTGAACCTGCTCCCTGCCGTGGCCGGTTCTGATGTCTTAAGGGAACTTGCGTGCCGCACACTCTCATCATGCCCGTGACTCGTGACAAGGCGAGGCGTCTAGAAAGAACGCCTCTGTGAATCCGTGGCCGTCCTCCGTGCACCCGGAGCGCTCCACGGGGTCCTCCTCCTCGCAGCGCATGAACAAACAATAAGACTTGAAAGGGCACCCTTGACCTAGGCAAGGCGTGAGAACAAGCATGGAGAGAAGAATGCTCTGTCGTAGGTTATATACATTGAGTCAGAAGATACGGAAACGATGTATGAAACAGCCAACCCAACTTGTGCGCTTATCATGAGAGCGGCTGGGAAGGAGGGTGCCGAAAACTTAGGCGAGTGAGGCGAAACAGAAGAAGACAAGAGCACGCTGACTCCGTCATGGTTGCACATGTCAAGGATGCGACAGTTCACCCAAAGATCTGGCATCTCAGTTCTCCATGATACCACACATTCAGCTTGCTTCTTGGAGCACTGGTAGCGACACCCATGACATAGCAGTAATGATGCGATACCAATGAAGACAAAGCGCGACAGCCGCGAAATCGACATGCCGTGATAACCTGTCTAGATTGCAAGTTGGCCTTTTGGCTCAAAAGAAGCGTCCAGGCCTGCGCCATAGAGGCCGTGGCCGCACCTCGACTGCGCAGGCTTACTCCGGGCAAGCCAAGCGAGGACTATGCTAAACCTGAAACCCTTAAGCCCTTGAACAGGCACTCCCAAAACCCCTAAGCCTGTAAATAACATATCCCTGCTTTGCATCTGGGACTCTGGCAGATTGCCCCCAAACCCCTCAACCCTTACGGCCTCACGGCCCATAAACCCTGACTTGGAGGTTCATGGTTCCTTGAAAAAGTAGGGTTAAAGGGTATTATAGACCTGCTTAGAAGTACCCATGAACCTTCAAGTAAGGGGGGTCCTAAACCCACAGCAAAAAGTAGTTCTGGCTTCCTAAGGTAGGGTTTAGGGCTTTTTGGTTGCCTCCGTCCTATTGGCAATCAGTCGACAGATGCAAGTCAAGGGCTCAGGCTTGAGGCTGAAGGCTTCTGATTGCGGTACTCAAGGTTTCTGCGCCACCCGCCCAGCGACGTACTGCTGGGCGAAATTCTGGACAAGAGTTGCAAGTATCAGTAGCTAGGGTTTCAGGTTTTGGAAGCCACACGGTAAGGCAGACATCCCCTACGAAACACAGCCAACCATCGCCCACCTCCGACTTGGTTGGGGGTTTACGAAAGTAAGGGAACCCTGATGTAAACCCCCAAACAGTAAAAATTCCCTTGAAATAAGACCCAATTTCGGAAACCCCCACTTGTCAAGGCTGAATCTGCTAGGGTCTTGGGCTTAGGGGCTTTGGGCTTTTAGGGCTGTAGGGTTTTCGACCTGCATGCTGCCCCACATGCTCTCTAAGATCAGGCACCTGCCACCGTTATGAGGTAAGAGTGCTGGACGTCCTCCTGAGACAGCGGTTGCCAATCTCAAGGCCCTCCAGCACCCCAAAAACAAGCTGTGAAGTTCGCAGGGTTGTTTGTGAAGTTCACAGGGTTGTTTTGCCTTCCGCCCAGCTGGAAGCACAATACAACCCTAAACCCTAAACCCTAAGCCCCTAAACCCTAACCCCTAAACCCTGAAACACATGAGCTGCAGCTCTCTGATGGTCAGCAGACTGTGTGGTAGCAGCAACCCTCAGAAGAATTGCGGAAGGGATCCTGGATCCTCAGTAGCGCTGCAGGAATACACGCAGCAGAAGCCCATCCCTTCAGCCCCGACCCTAAACCCTAAACCCTAAACCCTAAACCCTAAACCCTAAACCCTAAACCCTAAACCCTAAACCCTAAACCCTAAACCCTAAACCCTAAACCCGACCTGCGGCTGGTCCACGACTTCTTCCACAGCAAACCTGGGCCCAGCCGTTTCCGGCTTCCCAGTCGGGTCAAGCCCGCCAGCCGCCTGAAGCAACATGAGCTCATGGATCAAGGTTACTTAGGATTAGGGGTTAGGGTTTAGGGTTTAGGGTTTAGGGTTTAGGGTTTAGGGTTTAGGGTTTAGGGTTTAGGGTTCAGGGTTCAGGGTTCAGGGTTTAGGGTTTAGGGTTTAGGGTTTAGGGTTTTATAGGGTGTAGGGTTTGGATCAAGGTCTACTTCGCTCATAAGTAGGGATTGTACGTACGGCTGCTATGGAAATAACCCAATTTAGGGTACTTATATCAACTTATATCCCTGCTTAGAGGTTTCCATGAACCTTCAAGTGTGGGCAGTTCTCGAAATTGGGCTTTCTTTTGGGTACTCTTCAAAATACGGCACCTTCAAGAAAAGGACCCAAAAAGGGACCCTAACCTAGAAAACAACCCCTACAAGCCTACAGGGCTTGGTGCAGTTTAAGGCTTCCAGGGCTTGGGGAACAAGAAAAGCTGTGCGAAGCCCACTGACAAGTCAGCGACGTAACTAGGCGACCCCATGGGACGTGAGGGCTTGCAGATCGCCCCGACAACACACCTGGTCCCACAGCGGCCTGCTCTGCCAGCTGCCGCGTCGAGCCTTCCGCATCCTCACGGGGGTGAACCCGAAAAAACGGAATCTTGTCATGTGAAGCCTTTGCCGTATCTGCCATGCTGACATGCATGCTGTCCCTCTCGCCTGGGGCTCCAGAATCTCCTCGCTCTCGGGCTTTGCCGGTGAAGCCTGCGAAGCACCCCCAGCCGCCGCGCGCTCGGCGGCTTCTCTTGCAGTGCTTCGGAGCTGCCCATCCGAGTCCTCACAGCTGGAGCACTTCCACAATTCCAGTGCTTACATGTCTCACTCGTTCCACTTGAATCCACTCGCAGCTTCCAGTCTGGCCTCCTGATCTTGGATCCGTTCGCCGGGCTCTCCTTGGCGCATTGCCATCGCCTGATCGCACACACAAGCCACTTCCCGCGCCCAAGCACGGGCACAAAGTCCCCCTTGATTGTTCCCTAGCCGCCGTCGTTTCTCGGTTCGCTGCATGACTGCTGCATGAGCTTTGGGCGAAGGCATCACGAAACCTCCATCAAAATTGGAACGAGTCAATGAAAGGCGGAGAGGGGCGGGCGAATGCAGCCGCGATGGGTGACCCACCAACAGTCGGCGAAACACATGTTTTCTGCAAGGGGTTTGGCGAGCCCCACCAGCGCCAGTTCTTCCTGAAGTCCGCTTTGGTCTGGGAATGTCTGGGACAAACCCTGGGTGGTCCTTCCGGGGGTTGGTATTGCTGTCGGCTTCCACACAAGTGACATCACTTTGCCCAATGACAAGAGCAGAACTCGGGACATCTTGAACAGGCATTCCGCAGACGAATCAAAAACAAACTGCACCGCTGCGAGTATGCATGGGCATGAGATCGCGCCTTCTCCTCATCCTCCTCAGCTCGAACAGAAACGGGGCGCACGGCCTGCTCTGCCAGCTGCCGCGTCGAGCCTTCCGCATCCTCACGGGGGTGAACCCGAAAAAACGGAATCTTGTCATGTGAAGCCTTTGCCGTATCTGCCATGCTGACATGCATGCTGTCCCTCTCGCCTGGGGCTCCAGAATCTCCTCGCTCTCGGGCTTTGCCGGTGAAGCCTGCGAAGCACCCCCAGCCGCCGCGCGCTCGGCGGCTTCTCTTGCAGTGCTTCGGAGCTGCCCATCCGAGTCCTCACAGCTGGAGCACTTCCACAATTCCAGTGCTTACATGTCTCACTCGTTCCACTTGAATCCACTCGCAGCTTCCAGTCTGGCCTCCTGATCTTGGATCCGTTCGCCGGGCTCTCCTTGACGCATTGCCATCGCCTGATCGCACACACAAGCCACTTCCCGCGCCTAAGACAAAGTCCCCCTTGATCGTTCCCTAGCCGCCGTCGTTTCTCGGTTCGCTGCATGACTGCTGCATGAGCTTTGGGCGAAGGCATCACGAAACCTCCATAAAAATTGGAACGAGTCAATGAAAGGCGGAGAGGGGCGGGCGAATGCAGCCGAGATGGGTGACCCACCAACAGTCGGCGAAACATATGTTTTCTGCAAGGGGTTTGGCGAGCCCCACCAGGGCCAGTTCTTCCTGAAGTCCGCTTTGGTCTGGGAATGTCTGGGACAAACCCTGGGTGGTCCTTCCGGGGGTTGGTATTGCTGTCGGCTTCCACACAAGTGACATCACTTTGCCCAATGACAAGAGCAGAACTCGGGACATCTTGAACAGGCATGCCGCAGACGAATCAAAAACAAACTGCACCGCTGCGAGTATGCATGGGCATGAGATCGCGCCTTCTCCTCATCCGCCGCAGCTCGAACAGAGACGGGGCGCACGGCCTGCTCTGCCAGCTGCCGCGTCGAGCCTTCCGCATCCTCACGGGGGTGAAGCCGAAAAAAAACGGAATCTTGTCATGTGCCCTCTGCCGTATCTGCCATGCTGACATGCATGCTGTCCCTCTCGCCTGGGGCTCCAGAATCTCCTCGCTCTCGGGCTTTGCCGGTGAAGCCTGCGAAGCACCCCCAGCCGCCGCGCGCTCGGCGGCTTCTCTCGCAGTGCTTCGGAGCTGCCCATCCGAGTCCTCACAGCTGGAGCACTTCCACAATTCCAGTGCTTGCATGTCTCACTCGTTCCACTTGAATCCACTCGCAGCTTCCAATCTGGCCTCCTGATCTTGGATCCTTTCGCCGGGCTCTCCTTGGCGCATTGCCATCGCCTGATCGCACACACAAGCCACTTCCCGCGCCCAATGCACGGGCACACAGTCCCCCTTGATTGTTCCCTAGCCGCCGTTTCTCCCCACCGGTTCGCTGCATGACTGCTGCATGAGCTTTGGGCGAAGGCATCACGAAACCTCCATGAAAATTGGAACGAGTCAATGAAAGGCGGAGAGGGGCGGGCGAATGCAGCCGAGATGGGTGACCCACCAAGAGTCGGCGAAACACATGTTTTCTGCAAGGGGTTTGGCGAGCCCCACCAGGGCCAGTTCTTCCTGAAGTCCGCTTTGGTCTGGGAATGTCTGGGACAAACCCTGGGTGGTCCTTCCGGGGGTTGGTATTGCTGTCGGCTTCCACACAAGTGACATCACTTTGCCCAATGACAAGAGCAGAACTCGGGACATCTTAAACAGGCATGCCGCAGACGAATCAAAAACAAACTGCACCGCTGCGAGTATGCATGGGCATGAGATCGCGCCTTCTCCTCATCCTCCGCAGCTCGAACAGAGACGGGGCGCACGGCCTGCTCTGCCAGCTGCCGCGTCGAGCCTTCCGCATCCTCACGGGGGTGAAGCCGAAAAAAAACGGAATCTTGTCATGTGCGCCCTCTGCCGTATCTGCCATGCTGACATGCATGCTGTCCCTCTCGCCTGGGGCTCCAGAATCTCCTCGCTCTCGGGCTTTGCCGGTGAAGCCTGCGAAGCACCCCCAGCCGCCGCGCGCTCGGCGGCTTCTCTCGCAGTGCTTCGGAGCTGCCCTTCCGAGTCCTCACAGCTGGAGCACTTCCACAATTCCAGTGCTTGCATGTCTCACTCGTTCCACTTGAATCCACTCGCAGCTTCCAATCTGGCCTCCTGATCTTGGATCCTTTCGCCGGGCTCTCCTTGGCGCATTGCCATCGCCTGATCGCACACACAAGCCACTTCCCGCGCCCAATGCACGCAGTTTAGGGTTTAGGGTTTAGGGTTTAGGGTTTAGGGTTTAGGGTTTAGGGTTTAGGGTTTAGGGTTTAGGGTTTAGGGTTTAGGGTTTAGGGTTTAGGGTTTAGGGTTTAGGGTTTAGGCTTTTTCTGATCCCACCTCCTGGGCAACATCGTGCGTGGCCTGCTCGGCCTTCTTCCGCGCCTCGGACTCTTCCACCTCCTCACAGGGACCGCGCCACTCACTGCAGGCCCGCACAAGAAGCAGCCAAGGTAGCTCAGGGACCTCGCCATCTTGCATGAGTTCGCTTCGCTGTGGCCCGAGCTGATGACCGCACGTGAGAGCACCCAAGAACGACTTGAATTGCATTTGGCCCTTGTTTCTGTGTGCTCTCGAGTGCGACCATGGAGCAGGGTCCCTTCCAGGGTCATCAAGGGCCAACCCAGCCCACAGGCGCGCCCCTCTTCGGAGGTTCTCTTCGTGCTCACTTTCCACATCCTCAGCTGGCCAAACCCCCCCCCCAGATTGGCGTTCCTCCTGCAGACACATCGGCAGGCCTCCTCGATGGTTTTCGAGGTCTCCTGAGCTGCACAAGATGCCTTCGAAGCGGCGCTGTTCCCAGTTCTTCGGGTATTTCTTGCAGCCCTCTTGCGGCCCAGGAACTGAGTTCCGGCGGGAATCAGATGCCAGAACCAGCCCTGTGAGAACTCGCCCTGCAAGAACGCGAGCCACCGTGTCAACGTTCAGGTCGTCTGTGTCCATGTCCACATCCTGCCACAGTCAAGCACATCAAGCAGGATGGCGGAATCCGAACTCTTGCTGTCACACCTCGTGCTCCTGGACGCTGTCATTGGCTGCCTCTCTCGGCAAGGCCTCCATCAAGCAGTTTGTTTCATGGCAATTCATGTCGTACTGGTAAGGACTTCTGCTGTCCAGCATTCGTAAGCGTTCGCACGTCTTCGGGCATTTCTTGCAGCCCAGAAACTGAGTCTCGGCGGGAATCAGACGCCAGAACTAACCCTGCAAGGACTCGCCCTGCGAGAGCCACCGTTTCAGCATTCAGGTCATCTGCGTCCGTGTCCACATCCTGCCACACTCAAGCACATCAAGCATGTCCGCGAGATGCAGCAGGATTCATCTTCGCAAACTACTTTGCTTTCTTGCGGGTCGCACCTCGTGCTCCTGGATGCTGTAGCAGACTGCCTCTTCTGGACGGGCTGCTGAGCATTAAGGCATTCGAAACTGCAACATACTGCACTGTTTCCACTTCCTCAGGCATTTCTTGCAGCCCAGGAACCGAGTCCCGGCGGGAATCAGACGCCAGAACTAACCCTGCAAGGACTCGCCCTGCGAGAGCCGCGGTCTCATCTCTGCCTGTGCCCGCATCCTGCCGCAGTCAAGCACATCAAGCACGTTCGCGAACTCCTTTTCTTTCTTCCTTCTTGCTGGTCCCGCCTCGGGTTTTTGGACGCTGTCACTGGCTGCCTCTTTCGGCATGGCCTCCCCAAGCAGTACGTTTCACCGAACATCACGAACTGGCGAGGAAAAAGCCCAACCTAACGCACAGCTGCCGGCACTCCCAGCATCCCCAGCCTCATGCTCGGGGATGGCGTCTCTCTGTGCTTCCTCGCACTGGCAAAGCTGCAAGGTGAGTTTTGGTCACGTAAAGCTTCTTGAATTCAGGCGAAAACACTGGGTCTTGAGAGAGCTCTCTGGGGCTGCGGGGGGAGCGCAGCTTCCTGCCTGCACTCCCGCAAAGGAGCCCAGGTCAGCTGCGGCGACGAGACCGGCCAGCACTTCCGCCACCGCCTGGACATTTGCGTCGTCCGTGTGCTCGCTGTCAACTGCCTCACGGGCCGAGAGTCACGGGCCAAATCTCTTGGTGCCTAAAAAAAAATGAGAGGAACGGACTGGAATTGGAGGCCCAAAAGAAAGACCGTAACGCAGAGCGAAAACCCGATCATCAGCTAGCTTACATCGGCTCAGGGCTTCGCACCTCGTGCTCTTGGATGCTCTCACTTCTAGGAGACTCATCCTTGGCAGGAGGGCTGCGACCAAGGAGTGCAAAAGGTCTCGGAAAACGGCGAACGCATCAGATGGGCACGGGAAGCTGTGGCTGTGCAGAAGAGCCGAGATGCTTGAGGCAGTCCCAGAAGGCTCGCCAGGACGCTTGCGACGGTCTCCATGTTCACTGCATCGCTGTGCAAGCTGTCAACATCCTTTCTGCGGATCGGGCACCCAGCCGAACAACGAAGTTGGGCTTGGGGGAACTTGGGCTAACTTCGAGATCTGGGGGGGGGGATTTCGTCCGCTTGGCTGCTTTCCTTGGAGGTTCATGGATACTTACAAGTAGGGGGAATAAGCAGGGTTATATAGGGTTATTGGCATTCTAGGGATCATAGGGAGTCTAGGAATTATAGGCAGTATGGTTTGGGTCTGAGGAGCCACATAGGGTGTTAGGATGTCTTTGCTCTTATGGGGGGGGTAACTATGGTCATACCTAAACCCTAAACCCTAAACCCTAAACCCTAAACCCTAACCCTAAACCCTAAACCCTAAACCCTAAACCCTAAACCATCCTCGTGCTCTTCGACGACGGCCTCCTGCAAGTCGGGGCCTGCTTCTTCAGGCTGCCGGCCGGCTTCTTCAGCCTGCCATGCACGAAGTCAGGGAACCCAAAGCTGGGTTAGGGGTGAGAGCTTAGGGTTTAGCCTAAACCCTAAACCCTAACCCCTAAACCCTAAACCCTAAACCCTAAACCCTAAACCCTAAACCCTAAACCCTAAACTTTAGGGTTCAGGGTTTAGGGCCTTCAGGGTTCAGAGTTGAGGGCTTGTAGACCTTGAACTCGAACAGCAAGAATTCCTCATCACGAACTCAAGCCTATCGCTCAAATAGCCGGGCACCGGGTATCCTTTCGGAAAGCCAGCCCCTGGGAGTGATCAAAAGTAAGATCAGGAACCCACCTACTTGTTTTGGTATGGCTTCTATACTCACCAGTCCGAAGGTGTCGCCGCCAACGGAAACAACCCCTAAACCCTATACTAGTTCTGAAGTTACTTCTCCTAAAGCTGTAGGTAAGATCCCGGTCTTCGAGCTCTGGTCTCCGAGTTCACGAAACCACTTGGCCGCTACTTCTGGGGGGTTGACGAAGATAGGGGACCTCCTCCAATACAGGTCCCCAAAGAGTCGGATTCCCGAATTATAAGGACCCTAATAAGAAACCTTTTTTGCATCCAGGCCTCTAGCAGGCACCCCTAATGTCGAAAACCCCCCATATTGTTGCACCCCCCTGAAAGCTGCGAAGCCGATCTTGCGGAGGGGCCTTCGCCACAGCGTCCGCAGCGCGCCGCGCAGTGACGCCTTCCAGGTGGGCAACCAGAGCACTGGCCACCAGGTCGACATCAGCCGCCACCCTTTTGTCATGTATCTCCTGCCACGGAAAAACGGCCTAATCTCTTCTTCCTGTGGGGCATTTCTCTAAGCTATGGCCTTGCTGCAAATCGGAACCCCCAAAAAAGCAACCGTAAATTTTAGAGAGCTCTCCAAAGCACTTGTCCTACCTTGAAGGTTCCTGAGGATGCTTAGAAGCAGGGCGAAAAGGACCCTTAATAAGGCTACCATATAGCGACCCTACCGCCAACCCCACTTATAAGTACCGCTGAACCTCCTCCAGGTAGTATCCAACGGTTAAGGCTCCTTTGGCCTTGCCATGAAGGCCTTGAAAAGACCGAAGCCCCGGGTTCCCTGCTGCTTGTGGGTGCCGCTTACTTGTTGAGGTGCAGATTCGCAGCCACCAAGTGGCAGAAGGACAATAAAATTCGCTTAACTCACTGGCATGTGCGGCCTATAGCTGCCATGGTTTAGGGTTTAGGGTTTAGGGTTTAGGGTTTAGGGTTTAGGCTTTAGGGTTTAGGCTTTAGGGTTTAGCCTCAACACCAAGAACGCGAAGGCCCACTCCTGGCCTCTACCCCAGGAGTCTTGGCCCGGGACCCCTGGCCGTCCTCCACATGTCTCGCCAAGGCTTCGGCCACTCGGAGGGTGAGGCCTTCGCTGGCCCTGCGCTTTCTCGCGTCGGAGGCTGCGGTTGCTGACTTCAGCTTGCTTGGGGATGCTTGGGTTGTTTTCGAAATTTGGGTCCCTTCTTGGGTACCCATGAGAAGGCGGCACCCGTAAAAAGGGATCCCAAAAAGGTAGCCTAATTCCCTAATTTAGAGAACTGTCCACTTGGGGTTTTACAGTTTTCGGGTTTGGACAGGGCACTCTCGGGTCGAACAATTCGGGATTAGATCACGGCATCTCTCCATGGAACACCCTGAACCTGCAGTTTCCACTAACTTCCGCCAGCAAGGCGTCGACGGGATCCTTTCCGCGCCCTATCTCTTTTTCGGGCGGCACCTGGCCCCAACCTCAACCTGTGCAGCAACCAGCTAGATGCACAACAGCTTAGCTGCAAGAGGCTAACCCTAAACCCCAAACCCCAAACCCTTGAACACATTCCTCATCCGCAAGCCCCTGGCCCATCGAAAGCCTGTCGCTCTGCACCGCGCGGCGGATTAGCGAGGCGGTGGCCCACGATCTGGGTGTCTAGGAGTTTTAGGGGTTTAGGGGTTTAGGGTGTAGGGTGTAGCGCTCAGGGTTTAGGGTTTAGGGTTTAGGGTTTAGGGTTTAGGGTTTAGGGTTTTGGGTTTTGGGTTTTGGGTTTAGGGTTTCGCCACCCACACTGCACGCACAACCAAGCGCCCGGGTTTAGGGTTTAGGGTTTAGGGTTTAGGGTTTAGGGTTTAGGGTTTAGGGTTTAGGGTTTAGGGTTTAGGGTTTAGGGTTTAGGGTTTAGGGTTTAGGGTTTAGGTTCAGCAGCTCCGGGTCGAGCAATCTCCAGTAGAGCCGCTGTTTGGGCTCTCGAAAAAAACCCACCCACCCAGAGAATCCCAAAACATTCAGAAATAAAAAGTTTGCATTTTTCATCAGCAAGCCCTGTCCTCCAACCTCACGCTGTCATGGACCACGCCAGAAAAAGCCGGGGAGGGGGGGGACGGGGGGAGGGGGGGGGGAAGGGGGGGGGAGGGGGGGAGGGGGGGGGAGGGGGGGGAAGGGGGGGGGGGGGGGGGGGGGAGGGGGGGGGGGGAGGGGGGGGGAGGGGTGAAATAGAGACAGGTATGCCACAGGGTTCAGTCATCATGGCATGCAGTGGCCTGTGCCCGAGGTTCCGGATCAGAGTGATACACTTAGCCAGCAGAGCTAAAAGAGACACCTGCGTGCCTTGCCAGCTGTACCGAGCCGGAGGCTGGTAACGCTCAGGTTTCATCTCAACGTGGTAGCGGAGCTTCCGGGAATTACCTGGAGTGCTCTGTACCAACAGAGGTGTCCAGGGTAATCCTTGGCACGCTCTGTTCGGACAGAGGCAGCCAGAAGCTCGAAAACCGGAAGCCGATCCGAGCCCAATCGTAGAGCCATGGCAAGTCACTCGTACGACCAGTTCGACGACTACGAAGAACCAGACGGAGAAGCCTTAGCTGCAGGGAACAGGTCACTGGAAGAGCTTCAGCGTCTTTCTGCCTTTCAGCAGGTGACCACCAAGGTTCCCCCATCTTATGATGGTAGAAGTAGCTGGTTTGCTTTCGAAGATGCCGTAGACGACTGGTGTGATATCACAGAACTTGAACCAGAGAAGAGAGGACCCGCATTGAGAAACAGACTTGAAGGTGAAGCTGCTATCTACAAGAGATTGCTTGATCGAGAAGCTTTGAAGAACAAGGAGGATGGAGTCAGGTACTTCAAGCGCTTCCTTAGGCCTTACTTCGTGAAGGGTGCAGCGAACGTTTTCCTCTACAGATTCCAGCAGTTCATGAACATGCATCGTGGTAGTGGTGATATGCTGAGGTGGATGACAAGATTCCAGCTGTCCTACCAGCGCATGAACGAGTCATGGATGGACACTTTTGTTCCCCTAGTGAGTGAAAACGACCCCGTGGTGAGAGCCTATGTTCTAAGACTACCTCAAGAAGAACAACAGGCAATCACTCCCGAAGAAGCACTTCGCCGAGTCAACGAACAAGGGAGAGAAACACATGGAAGAGCACTACCCATCACAGCGAACCTCATTGCCCTGCTGTTCGTGACCCTGTCAGACCTTACCCAAGACCAAAGACAAGTTCTTACTTCTCTTATGGCGCACAAGAACAGGGCACTCACAGATTACAGAGTGGATGAGCTGAGAACAGTGTATTTGGAAGTGTTTTGCACCACGAAGACCACAGTAGACAACCCTCTTCTAGCACCCACAAGTGCTCCAGGAAGAAAAAGTTTTATCGTCATCGATGAAGGTACCCTCGATGAGAGCCAAGGCTACTGGTGCGAGGACGAGGATGATGGCGCAGAAGGCTTCCTGGACGCCTTTGAGGATTGCTTCTGGGTCTACGACGATGAGTCTTACACGTGGTTTCAGCGGAAGTTCCAAGGTCGTAAGTTGCGACGTGGAAAAGGAAAGGGCAAGGGCCGGAAAGGAAAAGGCAAGGGCCATGGTGGCCGACGCTTTTTCAAACGCAAGAAAGGGAAGGCCCATGCCGCCGAAGACGTCAGCGCTAGCGACTGGGCATGGAACGAAGAATGGCATGATTGGAGCTATGAAGCCTGGACAGCAACTGATTGGCAGGAAGGAGCTGACGACTCCTATGCAGCCAAAGGTCGGAAAGGAAAGGGCAAAGGCAAGGGCAAGTTCTTCAAGGGAAAGGACAAGAAAGGAAAGGACGGCAAGGGCGACCATGCCAATGCCACCTCGGAAGCCCAGAGGACTGCTGCCTTGGCAGGCCCAGGTACTCCGGCCATAGCTAACGCCTTTTGGGTGCAGCACCACAGTTTTGTGTCCGAAGCGGTTTACAAGCAGGACTCCAACGAAGAAGATGTTCCCAAGTCTTTTTTGACACATGCTTTGTCCCCTACCTCTATGGTTTTGGACATCGGTTGCACACGGGCTATGACCTCGAGACAAGCAGCGAAAGAGTTCATGGGTTTCGTGGACCATCATCCAGACTGTGGTTTGTGGTACGAGTTACGACCTACAAACAGTCATTTCTCTTTTGCCAACAGCGAGATGGCCCAGTGCAAGGAAAAGATTGTGATCTTCATGTACGATCTTTCCTACACGATTCAGTCGACCGAATTTGACATCGTTGATCAGGGCACAGTTCCCTTCTTGATGTCGTTACCTCAGATGAGGAACCTTCGCTTCAAGATCTCGTTAGAGCCTGACGAAGCCCTTCTGTCAAGTTCAGTTCTGGGCATGAAGAACCTTCCTTTGAAGGTTGCTCGAAGCTCACACTTGATGCTCGATCTTATAGATGTAGCCTGGCATATGTGGGGAGTTCGTTTCGATGCACACAAGAAGGTGAGTTTCTTCATGACGAACGAGCACCACTTCGAGTATGGCTACAAGTTGGTCACGAAGGAATGCTCCCCTCCAGGGGAGGAATCCTCAGAAGCCTTGGTTGTGGAGGACGAATGGCACTTGGACGAAGGCAACCATCGTCTAATCCGAGTTCACCGCAAGGAGCGAGTTCAGTCCTTTGCGCCATCGAAAGGGAATACTCCCATACCACTCGAGTACCTCGACACGATTCGGGAGACCACCATCAACTACAAGGATGGCATGAAGGAAACGCAGAATGATGAATGGAAGGACAAGCCTCCCGTCAAGTTTCCTAAGCCGTGGTTAGGTAGAACCGTTTTCAAGATTCTGCCAGGTGGCATAGAGAATCGCACCTCTGTGAAGGTGAGTACTCGGGGAAAAGGCCCCGGGCGCAGAGGAAAGCCTGATGACGAAGTCGTCAAGGCACCTGCTAGGAAGAAAATTACAGGCAAAAAGCCAGATTCTGGCTTAATGCCACATCCTTCAAGAAAGGAAGGCTCTCCTTTAGGAGAGGGATCCTTGCGAAAAGAAGGCAGCTCTTCCCCAGAAGAGGCACCTTTAAGCCTTTACCTTTCTCTCCAGGAGAGCTCTTTGGAGATGAGGACGAAGACCCATTTCCAGAGCTGAAGGGTAAGGGTGTCGAGACAACTAAATGGGATGATCAGTACTCTCCTTCTGAAGCTCCAGTGGAGCAGCCAGAGCCGTCTCCAGAGTCTAAAGAAGACAATGCGCCTGAGGAGCGCTTCGATCCAGAACCTAGGCGTATAGCGCTACCTCTTCCCGGGCAAGAAGTTGCCCGCTCTTCTCCGGCCTTTCGACGCATGATTGAAAAGCTACGAAGTGATGTGGAGCTGTACAAGTTGCATGTGAAGCATTACCACATGAGTTCCGCGCAGTTTCGTAGGCGTACGTCCATGTTAGGCCTTCCTGAAGAGATTTACGAAAAGTACGACCGCATCGTCAAGTCATGCAGGGTTTGCGGAACAACAGTTCCGGCACCGCCGCGAGCCAGAATCGCAGGCCTTCGTGCCGCGTCGTTCGGAGATCTTATTTTTGTCGATCATGCTGAAATCAATTACGGAGAAAAGAGTTATATCACTCTTTTGATTCTCGACGGCGCGTCTAACCTGCTTTGGGCTACGGCCCTCGTTGGACTCGAGGTTACCGAAACCCTTGCCGCATTTCGGAGATGGATCGAAGAGAACAACTGTGTTCCGAAAGGAGTAGTAGGTGATCAAGCCTTTTTCGCTGATGAATTCCTGGCATTTTACCGCTTCCATGGGATAACACCTTATCCCTGCGGGCCAAGAACGCCGTGGCCGAACAGAGCAGAAACAGCAGTTCGTCTTTTCAAAAAGACATGGGCAAAAATGACAAAGGCTCTCAGAGAAGAAGGTTTCCTTGAAAGCATCACTGTTAGGGATGCTGTGAAGAAGGTTGTTTGGGCAAGGAATTGCCAACTCACAATCTCTGGCTATTCACCGCTAGAAATAGCCACAGGGCGTAGACCGCCTGATCTGTTGGACGTCGAAACAAGTTCACCTGAACAATTGTCAGCTTTGGCCCCTCGAGAGGACAGGACCAATCAGGAGTTGCAACGCATTGCTATGCGAGCACATCAAGAGGCAAGACAGGCCCAGGACCTTCGAAGCGACCTGGCTCGCCGAGTCATGCCCTCAGATGGTCCTATGTCAAGGGGGACAAGGTGTTAGTTTGGATGAAGGATGAGTCTAAGATAAAGTCAGAAGGAGTATGGGTTAGAGGCAAGGTCATGGGACAGGAAGGTGCGATGGTCATTGTTCATGTGCATCAAGCCATCCTTCGAGTGAATCAGTCAAAGATTCGTAGAGACCATGACCCCTGGCATGATGTCCATATTCCTCTTGACATGGACAAGGTACCAGGAGGCTCTCCACCGGGAGAGGAACCTGGTGGTTTGTTTTGTGAATACGAGCCACAATGTTGCGCTGAACACGAAATTTGTTATCACACGCACGGGGGAAGATTTTGTGATGTCCTTGAAATCGCCCCAGGGCCTACGGGAATCACGGCCTGTATGGCTCGGCACGGGAACAGAATCGGAGAGCCAGTTCACGTGGAAAGTTGGCAGCCAAAGGCGATCCAGCAGAGCATCGCCTCGGCATGGAAAACTCTGTTGCATGCGTCACCCACGCTTGTGGTGATCAACCCGACGATACCTGATTCACTTGTGAGAAACAAGAAGGCCATCAAGACTTACTGGCATTTTTGTGCAGAAGTCGTTAGATGGCAGGATCAGAATCAAGGTGAAGTTGCTGTCGTGGGGTTGACAGACCAGGGATTTTTCACATCACAGGCTGCTCGTTCACTACACTGGAGAATTGGCATGTCGTCGATTTGTTTCGGCCAAGACGAGGGAGCAACTCTCATGACGAATCTAGGAAGGGATTGGTTTGAGAGATTGAAATCACTGCGAGGAGTTTTCATGAGTAGTAGCACTTCTGTCTCTCCTAGATTTGTTGTTCTCTTGGCTGAATGTCTTCAAAGTACTGATCGCAGTGATTATCGACAAGAGAGTCTTTTCCAAGACCTCCTTGAGGATTTCGACGATGGAGATTTGTGTTCTCTGTGTTTGCGTGCTGATAGGAACAGTGAAGTCTGCTCAGCACTTCCGAGTACCTCCGAACAATCTTTTTTGAATGCTCAGAAGAATCAACTCCCTAGCGCCTTGCAGTTCATATTACCTCAAAGGTTCGTGACGAGTTCTCTTGTTCAAGGACTCAGGGCGATTGAAGGTCTTGCTCCTGGAACAGAGCTGGAGGTGAATACCTCCACCACTCAGGAGGCTCAGTCGCTGAGAGGAGTCCTCAAAAACATCAGGACTTTGACACTTCCGTATCTCGAGTTTGAGAATTGCAATGTCTACCGAGGGACTTTTGGTAAGGTTCTTCCTGTTATTCAGAGACATCCTGATGCCGTCGTGATCATGTGGAAGTTAGGAGACTATGAACATGTGTTTTCATGAACCTCGCGCAGCTTATCCCATGTCTAAGGGACGTAGCGGTGTCAGGATGGTCGTTGATCGTGTTTTGGAATGAGATCGGTCCTCCCAGGAAAAGGAGAGGTCCAGACGTGTCCCTGGACTTTACCGATCGGTACCGGGATACCAGGACTACCATGACACACCCGTGCCGGGTGATATGTCGTGGGATGAAGGTGAGGAAGAGATTCAGGGTGGCCCTTCAGGGCCGGGACCCGATGGCCCTCCAGATGGAGCGGCAATTCCGATAGATGTGGATGGAGATGACGGAGGAAATCCTCCAGGACAGGGGGCCTTTCCGCCTGGAGGCGGTCCTCCAGGACCGGGACCAGGGTTCGGGCCTTCGCCTGAAGACTTCGAGGATGGCGGAACTCCTATGGAAGTTCATATGGAGCCGCCGCCTCCAGGTCCTCCGCCTGACGCGCCAGGCGCAAAAATCTACTCACATCCGGATCAGCCGCTTCTCCCGCCTTCCAAACCGGGGCCAGTGTTTAGAGCTCCAATTCCTAAGCATCCGAATTTCCCAGCTCCTCCTGTTGTTCAACCGGCTTCGCCACGTAACGTGCCGATTACGCGTGCACGCGGCAAACATCCTGATGAGCCAAGTAAGCCTAAGTTACGCACCGAGGAACCGGCGCATCCGATTCCCGCAAGTGCGGCACCAAAACTGCGTTTCCCTGTTTACCCAAACAAGATTCCGGAGGCCGCTGTGCCTCTTCCGGGTCAGCCGTTGCCGGAGAAAAAGGGAGATCCGCAGGTTTCCGCTCCGTTTCCGGACGAGGATGAGACAGATCCGACCGCGTCTTCTTCACAGCCTAGCGGACCGCCAGGACTTCCCGTGGCGGAAGGAGAGTTTCCGATTCAGCAAACTCCCGTCGCGCCTCCGGCTACGGACGCGCCAGTGCCGGACTCAGACTCAGACGATAGCCAGGCGACGCGAGATTACGGTGAGTCGTCTCTTGCTTCCTTGGTCGAGGGGGAGGAAGATGTTCTTCTGGTCCTTCCTCACGATTTGAGTCCGCCGCAGTGGGCTGTTTTTGATGGTGATGCGTTTGCGTCGTGGCTTACTAAGCAGGATAAAATTAAGGCTGGTACGATCACACAGGACATGCAGCGTAAGTACGCCAAGGAAATCCGAGCCGCGAAATTGGACGAGTTCAAGAGCTACTTGGATAATGATGCCCTTCGATTTGTCGATCGCAGGAAGTTAGCCAAGGATGTGAATTTTCTCACAGGTCGTTGGGTTCTTACTGTGAAAGTCGACAAAAATGGGTTCTTTTCTAAGTTTAAGGCTCGTTGGGTCTGTCGTGGTTTTCAGGACAAGAATGCCTGGGATCAGCAGACGGATAGTCCAACTGCTACGCGATACGGTTTTCGTTTGGTCTGTCAGTGCGCTGCCAATAATTTCTGGGATTTGTTTCATTTGGACCTTAAGACTGCGTTTCTTCAGGGGGAACACTATAACTTGCAGCATCGCAGCGTGATTGTTCAGCTGCCTCCCGACATTGGTTTGCCGCCTTGGATGGTCGGTCTCTGTTTGCGGCCGGTGTATGGCCTCAACGACGCGCCGCGTCGATGGTGGAATCGACTCGACAAGTTCCTGCGGACCATCGGCCTGCAGCCCACAAGGGCAGACCGATGCACCTATGTAGGATACGAAGGAGTCGAAAAGCAGAAATCGGCAGCAAAGATCGCAGAAGAGGTAAGTCTATTCCAAGAAGGATGCTCTCCTCTAGGAGAGGAACCGCCAATAGGAGACTTACCGGGCATCATCACAGAGTCTCCACTAGCTGCGTTGTTATCTGCTTGTGAAGAACCGCCGTCTTCTCCCGACACCGCGGTAGAAAGGTCCTATTTAGCATACCCCGACATTGCGCAAGCCTTTAAGACCAAGCACCTGGTTGAGTATGACTGGAGGCCAGTCACTGATAAAACCTTGCTTGACTTTCTTGGTGGCGTTGCCCACAAGAAGAGAGGCTGGTTCCCTTTCGAGAACGGCCAGGCCCTTGTGTCCCACAGGGCGAAGGCTTTGAGAGGTCCTGAACCGACCTATAAGATTAAGGATTATCCCTACCGGGTATCTATCATCTTGCGCCAAGGAACCTGGTGGGTGATTGAAAAGGCTCAGGACCTTAGGAACAAGAACGAGCCGAGCTATCTCGAGGAGGAGGCCGAAGTGCTCGTGACACTGTTCCTTCCTGAAAGGGCGGCCTACAAGACCACAGAACAGCTTCCTCAGCTTACCCCTGAACTTGTAGATCAGCTCTTAGAACACTTTGTTGATCCTGTTCATGGTAGCCCTAGTAAGCACAGGAAGTCGGTAGGAGTCCTCAGCCTTCATGTTGATGACCTGATCATCGCTGGAACCCCAAGTTTCCTGAAGTGGTTCTTGGCTAGGGTCAAGGAACATTTCACCATTGGACATGAAGACAAAAATGATCTTATGTTCACTGGTCAGAGGGTTCGATGGGTTGTTGACGACAAGGGCAGTAAGAAGTACATCTCAATTGATCAGAAGTTGAGCGTCTCAGAGCTCGAAGAGATCGTCATCCCCAAACACTTGAAGGACACTGATGTGTGTGACAAACAACTTCACACCTCCTACAGGTCTTTGCTAGGTAGTATCAACTGGTTGCAGTCCAGGACTCAGTTTCAGGCTTGTTACTCATTCTCACGTCTCGCATCGGCCTCAGCTGCACCTACGGTTGGTCACTGTAAGGAGCTGAACAAGCTCTGTCGACAAATCAGGAGTGAAGAGGTGGAGCTTAGGATTTGGCCAGTCCAAGGCACACCTCGCATCCTCGGCATTCCAGACGCGGCTTTCAGAAACAACAGTGACAAGTCCTCACAGAGAGCGATGACAGTGTTTATCGCCGATCAAAGGGTAAAGAATCGTAGGGACACCAGAGGCTCCCTGATTTTCTTCGAATCCACTAAGATCAAGAGGACTACCTTGAGCACGACAGTTGCTGAGCTGTATGCCTTGATGAAGTGTTTCGGCACCTGTCAGATGCTAAGGGGTTTGTGGAAGGACATCAGTGGTCTAGATGCCGAGATCCATATGCGAACTGATGCAAACAATTTGGTTACAACTGCTTCAACCACTCATGCCCCTGAGCAACAAGAAACCATACACATGATACAGATGCTTCGAAAGGAAGCTTGCTCTGGGGCCATTGCGGACCTCTCACATGTGCGCACAGAACACTGTCTGGCGGATTGTTTGACGAAACGGTCTGCCAAATCCACCAATTTGGTTCAGTCAGTTCAAAAGGGCTGGCTGAAGGAGATAGATGCTCATCCCCCCTTTAGGTCTCTTTTGGAACACAAAGCTTTTCTGAGCGCCTGGCTCCGGAAGGAGCTGTCGGGTTTTCAGTTTTGCAGCAAGGTGTGTTTCATGATCAGTTCTTGTGAAAAGAAAGACTGAGAGAGAGACGAGGGAGTGAGAGCGTTTTTTTTTGCAGTCATGTACTGTCATGTGCACTGCAACAGTCACATGTCCTTGTTTGTCGCTGCAGTAGAGTTTAGGTCTCTTTTTAAAATTTGTGCCTGCAATCTCCGAAGCCCGTCGGTGCTTCCCACGCTTTAGCTGCCTACCTCTTCCCTGCTACGGAACCATGGCAGCCGCAGCGCTCACTCATGCCGCGTGGGAGCCAAGTGTCGGCTTCAAGCCGCAATTCACACCCGAGGGCGAGCCCGATTACAGCCACTGGATCAACTCCGTGCATTGGAGCTCAAGGCGGATGCTTCTCTCGAGAGAAGGGACCGCGTCAAGCCTCTACAGCGGCACGGGCAGAGTGTACCTTCCAAGTGCAGTTGGCACGAGGAATATGCCTAGGGACGTCTACCCATACACCTTGAGGATTGCTGACAGAGATCTGCCTACCATAGAGGGCCAGTTAGCCTTGCTCTGGCACGTCATCCTGTACGAGGACAGGACAGGCAGAACGATCCTCAGCAGTTCTCAGCGCTGGGACTTCTACTTCGTGACGCCCCTTTTGGGGTGCCTCTCGGTTGAGGAGCTGTACAAGTTCACTCTCACCACCCAGCAGGTAACGAGAGAACAGAACACTCCTTATAGCAGCACGGTCAGCGCCTCCAAGGCATTCTCTGCTGTGTTCCGCCACGAGGCCGTGCACAGGAACGATTTGGACGAGATGAACTCTCTCCCTATTGGATCCTGTAACACACGGAAATTAAATTACCAGGCAGACAAACGCCGTTTGGTTTGCCGCCTTCATGCTCACCAACTCCAAGGGAAGGTTTTTCACCTACGTCCGTCCAGCTCCATGCTCGCCCACAGGCGAGGTAGGAGTGCAAGACTTCGCTATGAACATACGCCTTGGAGCAATTCAGGGTCATACTCGCGTAAGCTCAGTCCAAACTGAGGAGGCGCTGGGTATGGAAATCACCCTGGGAATGGCAGGTCGCCTGGGATATGTTTTCCACGCCACCGAGAAGTGGAACCACGACAACATCCTCAAGCAGGGGTTAATCACGGACGCTGGAAGGCCAGGTGAAAAGAGGGATCCGCGGTGCGCTGTGCACTTCACCTACGCTGGTGGGGAGGAGGCCCCAAGGGCTGGCACTGTCATCCGCTACGGCTCGAATGTCATCTATGTCGTGTTGGACCTCTACCAGGCCATTTCAGACGGGTGCAAGTTCTACCTGTCCGATAACGGTGTGATCCTGAGCTTCCAGAGTGTGCCACCATTTCACCTGGAGGCCCCCTCACGAGAAGGACCCGGGTGGACGCAGGTGGGAAAAACGCGAGGGACGCTCAGCACAAGCTGAGGAACCCTCAGCTCCCAGTTCAAGCTCTCGTGGCCCTGCGTCCAGCTCAGCCGGGACCAAAGGGAGCTCTGCCTCAGCAGAGGGATCCAAGGGTTCTGGAACAACAACGAAGGAAGCTGGGCCTCCTAGCACAGGCCCAACCACGGTTGGGGAAGTGCCCCACTTTGATCTCACTTCCCTTCGAGAGATCATTGAAGAGGAGGAGAAGAGGCATGTTCAGCAGTCAGAAACAAGCTCAGAAGGGAAAAGAATTCCTTTTGAGCGTGGCATGGAAGTTGAAGGGAGTGTAAAAACTTCTTTGACAGCTGAAGCAGAAAAAGTCAGAGCCCAAGAGGACCTGATCCGACAGCTTAGGGCCAATCCTTGGACGCTGTTCTACAAAGGCACCATTGCCTTGATGGAGGACAATGAGCGCAAGGTTGACTCCTACGGCACTGGCATGTACAGGTTGTTCGATTCCGAGATGTTCATGTCAGTGTGAGAAAGAAGCTCCAGCTTGATCAGGCTCTTTGGTTGCACAATCCTCTGAGTGGATACCCGGTTCTCTTCTTCCTGGAGGCATTCAGACTGGGGAAGATAGCCGCCAATGTGCTCATTGACTTTCAGTTGAAGGTCTCTCACTATGACCATCATACTCCACATTGGGACGCGGACTACTTCACCGAGCTCAGATCTAAGGCCGAGTCAGTCTTCACCCCTGGAATTCTTTACGGGAGAGCAAAGCCTGAGGTCACAGATGAGCGAAATCGAATGCCAGTTGAAGGCACAGAGAACTACGCTGAGAAGCTCGCAGAGTACCAGGCATTTCGGCACGAGCTGATGGTGGCCCAGGAGCTCATCAACATTCAGAGCGATTTCGTCAACCTCTACGACATGTTCGTGGAACTCTATGGCAGTGACTTCTTCTTGTACATGAAGGAGAATCGTGACAACCAAGCACTTCGGAACAAGTTTGTTGTGCGCGCACAGGACAATAGTGAGCATAGAGATTGCTCATTGAGGCTCCCGTTTGAGCCCAAACTCATCCTGAAGAAAATCGAACGCACCGTCGCTTCGTACCCAGAGCGGAAGTTCCTCTCTCGCTTCGCTTCCAAGGCCGTTCAGGACTTGCAGCAGTATGTGCAGATTCGCCAGTCCGAGGAGGCATTCGTCGACTACTACCTTGGCATTCCTGTGGAAGATTTTGAGCTTGAGAGAACCTTCGAGAACAATGAAGGAACCATCAAAATCGAGGAGGTCATCGAGGTCGATGAATCCTGGGGAAGCTCAACACGAGTTGAGGAACCCAAGGTGGCGCCTTCCTCTCTGGATGCAACAATGGAAGAGGAAGCGGGCTCTGCTACAGCAGAGGGACCACCACCATCTTCCGAAGCGCACATCAAAGAAGAGCCAATGCCCGATGCGACCGAAGAGGTCAAGGAGCCAGATCCCGAAGTCCAGTTGAAGGTCGAGGAAGGTGACTTCAAGGTGGAGGAGGAGTCCTCTACGCCAATGGTCACCACTGGGGAAACAGAGGGAAGCTCACTTCCAAGTGAGGCACCCTCGGGAACGTCCCAAGGCCTGTGGGGTAATGTACAGACTGTTATTACTCCGCAGGATCTCCAAGAGATCACTCAGCAGAATGAGGATGCTCTTCGATCCTTCGCCGACAAAAAGGAAGAGGCGACCCTGGAGCAGTTGCCCGAGTACCAGCGCTTCATTGATGAGCTGGAGAGGGTTGAAAAGGGTTCGCCCATCTACATCCTCAGTCGGCAGAAGTATGGAGAAAGTGATGGCATTCTCCATGGTGGTCTTCGGGCGCAGTCGGCTCAGAACCGATTTCGACTCCAGCATATGAGCTGGAGGGATAGAGCGGCTCCTGCTCGGTCAAATTGGAAGTTCCAGGTTCCAGAAGTGCCCTTCTTCGAGACAATGGCGACGATGCCACCGTTGTGGGAGTTTCGTCCTGCAGCAAAACAAGTGGCTTTCAAGAGCATTGATGTGAGGAGCACTTTTTCGACTGATGCACTTGAGAGATCATACAATGCCCATGTTGCCATTGCGGAGAAGGAGGCGCTGTTGATGGAGTCACTGGCAAAAACCAATGCTACGAGAGGTGATCTTCTGAACACTCTTCTTCGGCACTTTCTGGCCTGTGGAAGTCTCGAAACCACGAGCTTGGGAAGCTCAGCCTTTGCTGAGGAACCCGATCCAATGGCAGAGATGACGCATTTGGCCACCTCCAGAGTAGGTCTTAGCGTGATGGTTGCCAACTTGGGGAACTTCGCGAGGGGCAGAAAGGGCACACTTCCTCCAAAGTATGCCGACCTCATCTCGGATTACTCCGATGGAAGCTCCATCATTGTGAAGTTCCTCTCTCACTCCAAGGCACATGTTATTCTGCTGCAGGAGAACAACATGACGAGAGAAGAGTTGGACTACTTCAGGTCCAAGGGCTGGTTGTTCCGAACAAATGAGGCAGGAGATCTCCTCACTGCTGTCAGAGGAAACACCAAGGGCAAGAACAAGGTCAGCTTCAAGCACCTTGCTGGTCCGGTCCTCAAAGACCCTGCGTATGCCTGGATTCCCATCAGATATGAGATCGTCCAGATCAACTTTGGAAGTACCATTCCTCGAGAGAGAATGGAACAAGAAGACCTGGTTGATCGAGTGGAGTCCGCCTTCGAGGAGGCCGAGTTCAAGGAAGATCTCACGCGTGCAGGCATGAAGTCAATTCGTGTCTGCAACTTCCACGTTCGAAGTGAAATCGCACGCTCTAAGCCCGGCTTCTTGGCCGAGGGACTAGCTGCGATGGTCGCTGACTGTTTCCACTACCAAGTGGATCTGATGGGCGGAGATGGCAACATGTCATGCTACCGATTCGGAGGTAGCCAACAGGGGTCAGTGTCACACGACGCCTTCGAGAAGCACCAACGTCAGGACAGGTTGTTGATCCCAAGGACACGCGTCGTGACTTCGAACCCTCTACATCTTCTCAAACTCTACGAGGAGAAGCTTGGGTTCCCTACGGCGATGTGGGCCACCTAGTGGATTGGACGACGTTTCCTGATTTGGACTGCATGACTGCCATCGTCTTCGAATGGGGTCATAGCATGACCAATGAGGTGTGGGCTGAGTACAAGGGCAGCATGGAGTACAAGGTTTCGGTGAGTGAATTCTTGCTGCACTCGACGAAGAACCACTTCCTCCTGAAGCCCTCGGACACTGACAGTCACACACCACGGCTTCTACACATCGCTCCTAACTGGATGAAGTTCTCTGAGAAGAAGACGTACAGGTCGAAGGAGTCGATCTTGCAGGCGTCCCAATCCAGAAAAGAGAGACAGAAGGCTAAAAAGCGTGGTGCTCCTGCCGAACCAGTACAAGGCGAAGGTCGTGCTCCACCTGGCAAAGGCAAAAGCAAGAGCAAGGAAGGAGGCTCGCTTCCAAGTGAGGAACCTTCAGCAGTGCCAGAGCCAGCAGCTCCTCCAAAGGCTAAGCCAGCGGCGAAGCCAGCTGCTGCGAGGAGAGAAGTCTCTTTCGACGACAACCCTGAAGTCTACGAGTACGAAGCCAGTGGTAGAAGGAGACATGAAGAACTTTGGGCGCCTCCAAAAGGAAAGAGAGCGGCCTGTCATGGGGCCTGCGTTTTCCATGGTGCATGTTTTGCGAATGTTGCGTGCACCCAGCATAAAAGTCGCGATTTTTCGTCGAAGCAACCCAGGTCGACGATGTTATTGTGAGCAAAGCTTTTGGTTGAAGCCTGCTACACATGCTGAGTGGGATATGTTTCGTGAACCGAAGTGTTGGATGAACAGGAGTCCACATGCCAGAAGACCGGGGGGGGGGGGAACATTTGTCGGACCCAGATCCTAAACCTTAGTCGTTTACGGTTTGGGCCAAAAAATATTTGTTGGACCCTACTCCTAAACCTTATTCGTTTAAGGTTTCGGCCGTATATTTTACTCGCTGAACCTCATGCCTGAAGCTCATTTGCTTAATACACAAGCCAAACCCTATTCCTAAACCTTATTCGTCCAAGATTTAGGGCCAAAAACCTTATTCGTCTAAGATTGACTGAATAAAATCAAAGTCTAGACGAAAAAAACAATGCGTGAGCCGTCTCCTTAAGCAATGCCCACAAAGTTCAGGACTTGCCTCCTGTGGAATGCAAAGAGCATGGAGAATAACTGCCCACTTTGAGTATGTACATACGGTGTATGTATTGTATGCAAAAGGTAGAAATTCTACCCACTCAAATAGAGAAAATGGAGATGCGAAGAACTCCTAGGAAGTGTTTGAGGGCATAGGGTGATGCGAAGAAATACAGTATATGCACGTCTCAGGGAAGCGAGAATACTGTGAGCAAATACCCTTTGACTATGCACTTGCCCAACAGCCCGACTTACTCGCAAGTAATTATGTGGGTTTTCATCTCAATATATCTCAAAGGGTCTCCAAAAGAGTACCCATTTCTCAAGGATAAGACTCACACGTAAACTATTCTCAAGAATCACAAGCAAGCAACTCATAAACCCTACTCATTCAAGGTTTAGATTTCTAAGCAACTTATTCGATTAAGACCTAGGGTCAGACGCTATTCCAATATATTTATTATGCATGCTTGTTTAAGGTTTAGGGACATACATACCTTGTTCCCAAACCTATTCCTTTAACATTTGGGGATGTTGTGCCAGACAAGTAGGTCTATTTGGTCCAGATTCCTAAACCGCGCACCTGGGCGTTGTAGGAGATGGGAGAAGGGGAGACTCTTGGGCTGATAGCTTGATTCTTGAACCCTGCTTGCTGAACCCTATGCCTATGCCTGAAGCTTTTTCGTTTCATGCTTCTTGCCAAACCCTATTCCTAAACCTTATTCGTTTAAGACCTAGACCTTATCCGTTTAAGATTTAGTGAATAAAATTAGTGTTCAGGGGAACGTTTCGCCGAAGCAAGCGAGTAAGAACGTTGATGCTCGATGCTTGAATCCGCGGAAGGGAGGGGGGGGAGGGCGGGGGGGGGGGGGGGGGGGGGGGGGGGGAGGGGCTCAGCTCAACACCCAAGACCCCCCCCCCCCCCCGCCACCCCCACCCCCCACCCCCACCCAACCCCGCCCAAAGATTGATATGTTTATAAACACCCAGCCTGTTTATAAACACAGGACGTGCAACCCCGCCCAAAGATTTATATGTTTATAAACACCCAGCCTGTTTATACACACAGGACGTGCGACCCCACCCAAAGATTTATGTGTTTATAAACACCCAGCCTGTTTATAAACACCCGGCCTGTTTGTAAACACCCGGCCTGTTTGCAAACACAGGATGTGTTTACAACGCTTGGCTTCCTAATGCGTCACAAGCACACACACACACACACACACCCACCACCTAGTATTCAGGGTAAACACGCACCCGAGCCAAAACCAAGAGAAAAACACACACGCACAGGCATCCTTTCTCAAACCTAAACCCCCAAACCTTGTAGTTAGGGAAGAGGTTTACTGGGGGATGGACGGGGGTTAGGATGCAGGGTTTGGGGCTTAGGGTCATTAAGGTTGAAAACCCACCTAAGCCGATACACCCTGCGACTCTCGGACTGTCGTTTTCAGCCGAACTTATAAGCAGTCTGACTGCTTATAAGCAGAAGGCTTGCTTATAAGCAGCTGGACCCATCGGAAGCATAGCATAAGATATATTATACAATAGTCATGTTTACATAGACCCCAAACCCAACCCAAAAGATCAGTCGCAGGGAGTTGTCCGAGTGCGTCACCTGCAGCGGAAACCAAAAAAACAAAAAACCAAAAGAACCAAAAAAACCAAAAAAAAAAAAAAAACAAAAAAAACAAAAAACCAAGGATTCTCACACTAGTCCGAAGGTTTCAGAGTAGTGTGGAAATCCTTGGTTTTTTGGTTCTTTTGGTTTTTTTGGTTCTTTTGGTTCTTTTGGTTTTTTTGGTTTGTTTGGCTTTGTAGAAGGCTCGGGGTGTAGGGCATAAGGCGCGTGCTGGTGTAACGACGGGTTACATGAATTCATAAGGGCCTTCCGAAGCATGCAAGCAACCCTGAAAATATGCCAAAAAAAACCCAGGCCCCATGACAGGCCCTTCTGAAAGGAAAAGGGGCTGGTAAGGCCAGAAAAGGGGAAGGCTCGCCAAGAGGCAAGGGATCCTCTCAAGGCCCATACTGGTCCAATTGGTCGTTGGATCCTTCATGGAACCAAGGATGGAGTTCCTCCTCATGGGGTTCGTCTTCGTGGGGTAGAAGGTGAAGTTCTACTTCAACGCCTCCTACGATTACATCCTCATTGGTGCTGCTGTAATCCAGCTCGTCCTGTGAGTTGTGTCTTGTGATGCAACAGGCTTCGCGGTAGCGCATGTACAAAATGCGTGGGAGCCACAAAAGCATGCTTCCTCACAGGGAAGGTAGCTGTTCTTCTGTTTGGGATGAGTGTGTCAAGCGCGAACTCAACTCCAGTTGAGAAGGTGTGACAACAAGTCCTTCACCGATAAAAGAACGGAGACGAGCTCAGGCCTTTTTGTTTTTGCTGTTGTGAAGCACACCCTTATCGTTGACTGCTCTTGTGAATAGTTGCTGATTTGTATAGAAACTTACTGCTGCGCACTCTCGCTATGTTTCGTTTTTGGAACGAGACCTCGTGGCCGCCACTATCGTCATACGACATGCCAAATGAGCTGAATTTTTAAATTTGTGCCTGACTGAAATAGAGACAGGTATGCCACAGGGTTCAGTCATCATGGCATGCAGTGGCCTGTGCCCGAGGTTCTGGATCAGAGTGATACACTTAGCCAGCAGAGCTAAAAGAGACACCTGCGTGCCTTGCCAGCTGTACCGAGCCGGAGGCTGGTAACGCTCAGGTTTCATCTCAACGGGGGGGGGGGGGGAGGGGGGGGGGGGAGGGGGGGGGGGAGGGGGGGGGGAGGGGGGGGGGGGGAGGGGGGGGGAGGGGGGGGGGAGGGGAGGGGGGGAAAGAAATGACCCTTAGCCACGAAGGAAATTACCCTTAGCCACGAAGAAGCCACGAAGAAATGACCCTTAGCCACGAAGAAATGACCCTTAGCCACGAAGAAATGACCCTTAGCCACGAAGAAATGACCCTTAGCCACGAAGAAATGACCCTTAGCCACGAAGGAAATGACCCTTAGCCACGAAGAAATGACCCTTAGCGCCCAGGAAATGGCCCTTAGCGACCAAGAAATTGCCCTTAGCGAGGACATTGCCCTTAGCCACGAAGACATGACCCTTAGCCACGAAGAAATGACCCTTAGCCACGAAGAAATGACCCTTAGCCACGAAGAAATGACCCTTAGCCACGAAGAAATGACCCTTAGCCACGAAGGTGTATAGGGTTTAAATATATATAGAAAGAGAGGTTTAGGGTTTAGCGAAGCTCTGATGCCCTAAAAAAGCGTGGGACTCCTTTGAACCCTACAAAGACCTAAAGGCTGGGCCTTAAAACTGCAAAGCTACACCCTAAAACCAAGTAAAATCCTGCAACCCTGCACCCCGCTGCCTGTTCGCCTTGGCGACCTCCAGGGCCGTCTGCCCGCGCGCATTCCGCGCAAAGGGATCAGCTTTAGCCACAAGAAGGACCTTCCACCATGGTGGGGGCTCGCTGCCCCTTCTTGCCTACCTTCATGCGACGGCCCCCCACAAGCGTATAGGAACCGGCGCACAACGCGCCCAAGGCAAAATGGATGCAACCTCGAGAAGTCGCTAAATGGGGTGTCACTGAACCTGGCGCCGAGGCTCAACCACCACAAACACCTCCCACAAACGAAATCTTAAAGGTCTGCTTATACGATGCATAAGTGCTACTTGTTTTGTGGGGGCGGGCATGTTAGACCTTAGGTGAGTAGGATGTCCCCAGTAGAGCCCCACACTTCCCCCTGCCTGTGCTGCTGCCCGGCAGTTGTGTCGCGCAGCGGCATGCAAGGGCCAGGACTCACAGGGAACTCCCCGCTGCCCACGAAAGGACACGGCTTCGGGTCTAGGAGCCTAGGCTTCGGGCTTATGCAGAGGTGGGATGTGTTAAGCTTTGGGGTCTGCAGACTCTCGCTTCCCGCACCCTAAACCCTAAACCCTGACCCTAAACCCTTTTTAAGCACGGACTGAGGCTGCCGGCAACACCTGAAAGCAGGGCTAAAAACCCCTAAACCCTGAACCCACCAGAAGCCCGCGCATCGCACCTCCTGAGATGATGTCAGAGGGTGAGTGGGCGCGAGCCCCGCCTTCAACAGCGCCTGGCACAGGAGGACTCACAAACTCAATCCGCATGTCCCTTTCGGGCCTTGCACTGAAGCTCATAAAGTAAGGAAACAGCTTTGGCTCAGCGACACAGAGGGCCGAGGATTCAAGGTGGAGACATGCTCTCCTAAGTCTTCGCTCCCAGCCTGGAGGGCAGTCAAGCACTGCACCCAAGGCACACCTCAGGCATGGGCATACGCAGGAAAAACCGAGACTTATACAGAGCTTGGGGGTTACGAAGTAAGGATGCATGAGTTTGAGCCGTCTGGGCAACCATACTCCAATCCACCAAGGGCATACTGCAGCACCAGGCCACAGCCCAAGTGTGTTTCACACAGCACTACCTAAAATCTGGGCCCTTAAATCAATGCGGATTTCTTATCCCAAGAAATATGGTTACATGTGAGATCAAGCCCCCCACCCCGTTCAACCATACTGATTCGCGGCTCGTATCCCCTACTCCTATGCTTCTGCCGCCTCCGCAACTTGAATCCGCGAGACAAGTGGATTGGCCTGAGGCCCCCGGCATTTTTTGAGGATGCCCAAGTACAATCCTTCCGCATGGGGGGGAGGGATAAAGCCTTTGGGGTGTAGGGCTTCGACTCCCACATGAGGAAACTCCTCGAAGGTGCAGAAACTAGGTGCTCATGGGTTTCATGAGCACAGAAGGGAAACAGAATTCATATGGGGGTTTTTCAAAATAGGGGTACCTTATTGGGGTCCTCTATATAGGGAATCCTACTATTTGGGGTCTAACTCTAGGGGTCCCCTATTTTCGTAGCCCCCACACGCCGGGAAAGGGGGGTCTTGGATGGCTTTTGGGAACCGAGGTTGCAGAGGGCTGTGGCGCAATTCTTCCAAACCCAAGGATCCCATTGGTAGGGTGTAGGGTTTCGGGCATAGGGGTTTGGGGTTCTTTTCGCCACAAGCCTAGCTGACCTTCCGGCCATGGGTTTAAACTTCAGGGTATAAAGTGTCAGGGCTCCTTAGAGGGTCCAGGAAATCACTTCAGAGCCACCTGCAAAGGCTTGCGTCTGTGGTCTCGGCACATCTCCACCCTTTTCGCAAGCAGCCAGGAAGTCCCCGAGCAACCCACGCTCTGCCAAGACTGCACTGACCTCGGTGAATCGAAAAGTCGTGGTAAGAACGCACTCTGTGAAACGATGATATCGGCCCCCACGTCTTTTAGGCTTAGGGGCTCGGGGCCTAACATGGTTTTTGTTCGGGCTGCCTTCGGGAACGCTGCCGTGCCAACCTTGCCAAGGGTCTTTGCGCTCGCTCTGGCGCTGACACGCTCTCTCTCAACGACAAGGGCCCTGAACCGCCAAACTCAGCGCGCACACAGAGTCACACGCACACACAGTATACAGGCACGTGCAAAGGCGGAAAGCGCATGCCACAAGAGCACGTATTGTACTAGCAGCCTATTGCACACGGAACACATCGACCCTGGACAACACAAACACGCTGAGCTTGCAAAAACACTCCTCTGCAAGATCGACTCTCAAGCACTGAAGCTGCTTCAAGGGGCCAGTGCCATGCGAGGCTGCTCCTGCTCAGGGCATTGGTGGCATGCAGGCCCTGAGATGTAGGTGCTCTTGCACCTGCTAAAGCCTCACAACACCTCGGAAAGATGTAACGCTTCTGCCGATTGGCGCAAGGCGAGACGAAAGACGAAGGGACAAGCACTTGTGTAGCAGCACCCACAGAACCAAGCACTAAAGGTGGAGTCTCGGCCGTGGGCGCCTCATCGTGCGGAAAGCCGCCGCCAGACTCAACCTCACAGGCTTGCGAGTGACGACTCAGCCCCATAGGGCTTAGGAAAATCCATGATGTCAGGGCCCTACGTCCCCTTCAGGTTCCGTCACTCACCTGAAGAACCTGTTGCCCACCTTTGCTTCCAAGGTGCTAAGAAGGCCACCAGGTCGGGCCAGTTTTCACGCTCCAGCAATAGATGCACCGGCTGCGCTGACGCATCGCCTTCCTTGGAAACGCGCATTTGCGATCAAAGCGAGCTCTGGCGCTTGCTGACATGACCCCTTTCTTGATCAGCTACTTTCTTAGCCGGGGGTGTCCGAATGTCAAAAGCTGAGGCTGGCCTACCCTTATAAACCCTAAACATCCCTAAACCCTCGGTTAGGAATCTTCGGGTTCACGAATTCCCTAACCCCAACTTTTTGAAACATTTGCTTCCCGACTCGCCCCTCGCCCCGTCCCACATTCGGGCTTCACGAAAAGGCGGGACCCCCATAGACCCCCAAGTAGTAAGAGTCTCTGATAATAAGGACCCCGCCAATAAGGTACCCCTGGTTTCGAAACCCACGAGGGCCCTATGTGTATCTTGCAGGCGGAAAATGGATTGAAATGGAATCTGGTAGTGTTTTTTTTAGCAAAACAATGAATTATATGTTTCCTGCCCCTTGCAAGTTCACGAAGAGGTTACGGCACCTCAATTTATCTGGCTGTATTCTGGGGTCACATGGTCTGACTTAGTGGCAGGTGCAGCACTTTTGCAAAATGCATGCTGCCAAAGTCAGCCCATGTAAACAACTCTGTCGGTAATTGAGGGCTTGGGGTGTTAACTGCTGGTTGGGTTTTGGCATCAAATACCTTTGTGCCGTATGTGGGGCAGAGAAGCAAGAACGCCATACATGCCAGTGTTTTGGTCATGTTCGCCAGAGCCATGAAGGCTTGTGACCGCGTGTCTTGCTCCAGAAACGTCAAACATCCTTGCGCACCACGTGGCGCGGTGAAACAGAAACGCTGTAGACACCAATGTTTTGGGCCAGGTCTCGCCACATCAATGTTGAATCCACCGAGTCCCGCCCTTCAACCCTTCTCCTCGGCCAGCTTCTCTTGCTTGTTTGACCAGGTTCTTGTTCCCCGGTTTGTGTTGCCTTGCCGCTGGGCAGGCCCAGGCCGAGGCGGGTCGCGCAGCGTTCAAACTACCCCCGAGCAAAACAGAAGAAGCCAGCAGGAAAACAGAAGAAACGACCATTGAAACTAAAGCGCCGTGCCAAACTAAGAACTTCTTTCCAAAGGTAACTTCATGGGTAGTTTTCTGGGACATCAGGAGAGTAACCCATGAAATGATGTGCAGCATCCTGGGGATCGAAGGTGGAGCCCCTAACTTGGCTATCATTGGCCTCTTCTCCAAGGAAAAGATAAGGCGAAAGATCAAGGGCACCATTCCACCCCCTGGATCTACTGGACGTCTTCACTATCGAGCAGACGGACACTGAAAGACTTCTCACGAAGTAGAATTCCTTCTAACGATAGAAGTAAATCAGACAATGCAGGTCTCGATCGTGAATCTGTTGGCAGAGCATCTTGGCGTAAGAAACACCATGCACGTACTTACACGCAAAGGAGTGCGGAACCCACATGCTTCTAATGCCTTCTCTGGATGTGAGAGAAAGAAGCCGAAACTAACGTGGAGAAGATGGAGATAGGGAATGAAAATCGCATAGAACTCTGCACGAATAACTCCTTGAAGGAATGTTGGAGATAGAAAATGTCATTAACAATCTCAAAGAAGAAAATCACAATGAGGAAAAATGAAATAGAAAACGAAGACAAAGAACCTGCTTTATGTTGGATTGAAGGCGTGATGCCCTTCACAAGCCATTCTTCTGTTCAAGATGGAGATGGAGATCGCAAACTTGCCACGCAAGTACCACAACTCCTCCTAAACTCATTTGTCCTAAAGCCAAAAGTGGCACATAGCCAAGCCCCTAGACCTTCCCCCGTCCATCTCAACCCCTCTTCTTGCAGCAAGTCCCCGCACCTCTAAAGGCGAAACCCTTTAAACCCTAATCCCCAAACCCAAGACCCTGAACCCTAAACCCAGAGTGATTTTTGACCATCGCCCAGTCGTGTGGAACTGAGTGCATCCATCGGACTCAAGCAGCAGAGCCACGAAACCCTAAACCCTAAATTACTAAACCCTACCAAGCTTCCCAGTGCTCGTCTTGTGGAAGGAGAAGGCACTGTGCCAGAAAGGGGCGATCCCAGGCCTCCCTCCGAGAAACTTCCAGTAGACAGGACCTGTGCGGGGTTCCGTGGATGATGGATTTGGGTTTAGGGTTAGGGCTTAGGGTTCGGGATTCGGGTTTCGGGTAATTATAGGGGTTTCTAGGTAAGGAACGCCAGAGTCTCCCAGGCCACGACACAACCGACTCACCAGGCTGTACAGTTCTGGGCATCTTTGTTCCTCTGCAGGATCCATGCAGGGCGGCGCGCTGGGGCTGCGGCGTGTTTACGCCCCATCATGCCAGCATACACTGGCATGCTGCAAATGAAAACCAAAAAGCCACACTCCACCACAAGCACATCCCAAGAACCGTCTGGGTGCACCCTGAGAGCATTCAGACGACGGCTTTGAGACCATCGTGGGCAGCACGTGCTGCGGGACTAATGGTGCATAGCTTCGAGAGCCGCGAATTGCACATTCCCCTTGGGTGGATGCACGCCCTGAAGCATTGCCAAGGCCCCTCGGCCCCTCAAAGCCGCAATGTGCCTGCCACGCTTTTGGCACCAAGCGCTTCAAGCACCCAGCGGCTGCGCACAGGACTGAGCCGTGAGCGCACGATCCTAGCACGGGCCAGAACCCGTGGGCCTAATGAGACCTGCGTGAGAGCGCGATTTGGTCATGCGCACCGCGCTTAGGCGAGAGCCATGCAACCGCCGTGCCACCAAGTTGCTTCCAATGCAGGATACCCGTACTTGGAGGTTCATGGGTTCTTGTATATAACCCCAATGATAAGTCTACTTATAACCTCCTTAGAGCACTTAGGGGACTTCGGGGGCTTACAATTACAAGTACAGTTCTAATTGGGGTAAGTATCTTGAACCTCCTAGTAGTACGGGAAAAACTATTCCGTGCCGTCTTGGCCGACACCCAACCAAGGACGACCCTCGTTTCTGTGCAGCGCCAGGCACAGCAGCTTCTTGCTGTCCTTCTCCCCAAATAGTGCCGGAGGGGCCATGCACCTCTCACGGGTAATGCTGCTCGGAACATTCCCCCACAAGCGCGCTTGCAACTCCTACACCTGGATCCCGTTCGAATACGGGTCTGAAGTGCTTGCCAACGCTGTGTCATGAAGATCTCGGCTACTTGGCCCTAAGACTCACCTTCTGATTTGAGTCACTCTTTCTCACATTCAGAGAGGAACAGGGTTGGGAAGTGGCCCTGGCATGACCCATGTAGTGCAACCTTTGTGCAGCAAAGCTGCAGGAGCATCGGTAGTGTCCAGCCTTCGACGTCTTCCGTCAGCGCCTCGCACGAAAAATCGAGAACACGAAACACCTTTCGCCTCACGATACCCAACTGGCCCTGAACTGAGATCTTCTGGGCCTGTTTTTGGGCACCATATTCTTTCTAGCTTTCGAGCAAATAGGGGCTAGAAAGGGGATGATCTGGGTAATTACCCCCCCCGGGCCCCTCTGTGCCTCTGGCTGGCCACTGACCTCTCGAAGGAGCAGCTGCCAAACTGCCAGGGCCTGATTCCAGGGGTCGCTTGCTAGGATGGCATTTACGAAGCCCTTTTTGGAAACATATTCCTGAGTAGGATCCTCTTAAGCCCAAATAAAGGAATATATCATAATCCTGAATAGGATCCTCTTAAGCCCAAAAGAGTGAAAGTTTTAAATGTCCCCAAGGGGGCCTACCTAGTTTGATGCTACACCGACTGCCCCTTGCCGTCACCATCACATCTCACGGCTGAACTGTGGCCAGTTTCTGGCCGACTCGTCCCAAGTTTGTGCCAAAGGCACCCCGGAGTAGGCAGCCATGAAGAGCAGCGGAAATCCTTGGAAACAGCTCCGCAACAGCTTAGCTGATGGCAAGGCAGGCACATCCGAAGAGCAAGCGGCGATAGCAGCGGGTTGCCAGCTTCTGCTGGAGCTCCCAGGAGATGACAGTAGGATTCGGCTCCGCCCAGAGGCTGTGCGCCTTGACCTCGCATCAAGACACAGGTAAATCCCTAGACCCCTGAAAACAAGCCTGAAATAGGCCTCAAATAAGCCTGAAATAAGCCTCAGAACCCCTGAAAGCTCCCAGTCTGTCCATCAGATCTCCAGTCAAGCCGTGGCACTAAAGTGCTTAGCGCAAAGATATCTCCGTCTCGGACAGCTTTGGTCACCTGCCCAGAGATGAACGTCTCACCACTGTAGGCGCTGACTCAATCGGAATGCTCCGCAGGTCAAACGACCACGCAGATGGATCAGTCATTGATGAGCATGACTCGTTTGTTCAGTATACATGCTAACCGCCCCGTTTACTTGAATCAATCTTTGAATTCATAGGATGACCACTAGAAAACACGAGTAACGATTAAATGAACGGCATAGAACACTTTTTTGGCTCAAACTCGGAACAGTGAAGGTAGAAGAGTATGGGTCAGGAGCCAGTCATGAGTTTGCACAATCGCACCAATGTTGCCATTCTCAGCTTCTCAATGACTGCTGTGAACGAGCCTTCAGCGCTCCATCATGTGTGCACATATCCATCTATATATATATATATGTACACCTGTTATGTGTAAAACAAAAATATATATATATATATATATGTACACATATATAATATACATACACATATGTGTGTGCACATGCATGGTCTGCTGCCAGTGTTCGTATGATTGGTTGCCAGCTAAGAAATACCAGAGGAACTCAGGCACATCCAGAAAGCAAACAGCACTTGGAATGGGGTTGTCAATAGGAACTCTGAGTCTTTAGGGTTTAGGGTTTAGGGTTTAGGGTTTAGGGTTTAGGGTTTAGGGTTTAGGGTTTAGGGTTTAGGGTTTAGGGTTTAGGGTTTAGGGTTTAGGGTTTAGGGTTGTAGAGGTCGGAAGGTGCCTAACCGGCCTTCCGATGACGGAATTTACACGCCTGTCCGTGATGAACCCGTATGGAACAGCAGAGACGCAAGCACAAAGGCAAGCACAACAACATAAGACAAGCGAGCACGGGCAAACTTACAAGGATAAGTTGCACGATGAACTACCGGCAACAAAAACCCAAAGCCGCACCCCACCCTCGATATTCCACCTTGGAACCCCAAGAAGGATGAAGAGGAACAACGTGCCAGCATCCTCAGCAAGCGAAGACGATGATGAAACGCCTGCACCTCCTAAACCTAAGAGCACGAAGACACGAGTGATCGCAACGAAAACGCAGACAAAGCGAGGTGCTGCACTTACGGTGTTTCCTCTCCAGTCCCTGGTCTGTCAGGAATCCCCCGACTTAACTACTGCCTGGCCCTGCACCCTTAGAAAGTCCCGAACCCCGAACCCTAAACCCTAAACCCCTGAAACCTTGCAGGACAACAAAGCGCCTGTGCCAGCACCACATTGTCGTTCAAAGCGGACGGCGCAGGCGGCCCGGCTTCATGCCTTAGACATGGGTCCGATCATTTGGGTTCTTTGAACACCGGTGAATATGCTTGGGCTGCTGCTATGTTTTGCCGTTAAAAAGGCCTAAGGCGGCTTCTGGTTGTTGTTGCTGAGGTCACTTGTGCGTCTGTTGAGTTTGTGAAACTTTCAACTAATGATACTGATGCGATTGCTTCTCTCATCTCCAAGCAAAGGCGCAACAGATCTCATCCAAGGAGGTCTGCCCGAACATCTATGTGCTAACAAGCAGAAGAACCGTTCATGACAATAGCAGTAGGAATGGCGATGGATATTAACTATAGTAGCAATACTAATGTCAATACAAACTGTAACAATTGCAATCGTACTAGTACTTTTGTGCTAGTAGTCGTGACAGTGACCTTCATTAGCAATGGCACGAATAGAAAAATCATAGCTAACCATGAGCACTCACTATCACATTATGTTGAATGCTAGTAGCACGGCTGAGAATAAGGAGAAGACTGCACCCCATGTCTATCTTCAAATGCAGCTGAAGCGCCGCAGCTCCTCTCTCAACTGCTCACGGTGGCTCTTCCGACCGCGCAGGCCCCCCTGGAGAACCCGGGCGCGGCTCTGCCAGGGCGGCGGCTCCCCAAACTTTGCCGGGGGCTTGGCCACGAGCTTGGCAGGGGGCTTGGCCGGAACCTCTGCCCAGACATCTGCAACATGCTGCAACATGCTGCAACCACCACTACGCAAAGTCCGCCAAGTCCGCAAAGTCCTTGAGCCCTAGCAAATCTACCCCTGCATTCCGCGCCTCCGCCTCAGCTGTGTCGGGCAGTCGGCACGTCACCGCCGCAGAGTGCGCAAAGGGCCGGTGGGTGGCGCAGTATCGGCCCTGAGTCTGGGAGACGTGCCTGAGCAAGGTTTCTTGGAGGCTCAGGGTAATGATAAGGACAGCGATAAGCAGGGGATCTACTTTTATAACCTTATTTCGGGTACCTCTAACCCTACTTAGAAGTACCCATGAACCTCCAAGAGTAGATCCATGTCGGTCCCCAGGTTAGTTCACAGCTCCCCCCCCTCAAACTCTCCAAAAGCCCCTTCATATACCCCTTACATATACCCCCTATATACTTTATATACCCCCTACATATACATACCCCCTACATACTTTAAATACCCCCTGCATGCCCCCTACACCCCTCCTTGCAGCCAAGGAGCCCCAGAGCACCTCCCCCAAGGTGCGCGAGCTGCACAAGCTCCGGCTCACCCAGCCCCTCGCCCTCGCCCAGGTGGGTCACGGAACCTTGGCAGGTCTCTTCAGGGAGTTTAGGGTTTAGGGCTTAGGGTCTAGGATCTAGGGTCAAGGTCGGTCTAGGGTTTTCTTTCTAGGGTTTGGGGTTTGGAGTTTGGGGTTTGGGGTTTAGGGGTTGATTTAGGCTACAGGGTTTAGTTAGGCCGTATGGCCCATGCGGCCGACCCACCTTGAAACCGCTATGTGCCACTTTGTTGCATCAGGCTTCTCAGGAGCACGCCCTAAACCCCAAACCCAAAACTAAAACACCAAGAACCCTCTCTCCCTTTACCGTACACCCCTGAACCCGAAATCGCCCTTTCTTGCCCCGTCTAACCGCGAACCCTAAACCCTAAACCCTAAACCCTCTTGCGCCCCAAGTCTAGCGCGCCTCGCTCAACCGGCGCAGGCGCATGGGCGCCCTTGGCCGCGCGGCCCGCGAGGCGGCGGAAGAGCCTCCGGGCCTCGGTCGGTGGGTTTCTAGGGTTTAGGGTATGGGGTTTAGGGTTTAGGGTTTAGGGCTTAGGGTTGGGGATATTTTGGAAATCTTTGGAAGGGGGAAGGAGGGAGAGGTTGGAGTCTGAGCTGCCTAGGAGGTTTCCCCTGAGTTTAGCGTTTAGGGTTTAGGGCGCGCAGCCTTAGGGGGTGTGGAGGTTGTGGGGGAGGGAGCAGCAGGTCGAAGTCTGGGGTCTGGGAGTTAGGGACTTGGACTTTGGGCCTTAGAGGGGTTGGGCTTCGTATCATATCCTACGCTACTCCAGCCCGTGCCAACTACCCTTAAAAAAACACAAAGTCCCAAAATTTAAAGTGCCCCTATATTCAGTCCTTCGGTGAGTAGATAGAGTGGGGGGGGCGGCAGCAGATTGATTGTAGGGCTCAGGGCATGAGGATTATAAATACTTGACGGGGTATCACTGCAATGGCCACTCAAAGCAAGTGGCGCTTCTCCGGCGGTTGCCCGAAAGCGTGCATACTACCAAACTTATCTTCATACAGTTGGACTTCTACGAAATGCGTAGCAGGGAGACTGCGATGTTGCTGTCAAGTGTCTCCCCGGAAAAATGAGCAACATTCTAGGTAGAACCGCGCTGCTCAACGCCAGAATATCTATGACTCTATGATCGCATCAGTATCCTAAACCTTAAACCCTAAACCCTAAACCCTTCAGTATCAGTATCACATCTCAATGAACCCGGCCACCCGATGGCAATGGTACCCCTCACCCTGGTGCCCAGCGAATGCCTCTTGGACATCAAGCCGGCCGTCGCCATTGGCGTCGAAGTCCTTCAGCAGCTTGGCAGCAATGCCTTGCAGCCTCTCCATGTAGCGCCCATGCTCTTCTGTGCCTTCGGCACAGGGGGGGGGGGGGTTTGGGATTGAGGGCGTTGCTTTCTTGGTGCATCTTGTTGGGGGACGCCCGCAGGCCCGGGCTGAGGAGTCGGAATCTGAGATCATTCAGCTTAGGGTTGGAGTTCAGTCAGCTTAGGGTTTTCTCGGATTCGCCCCGCCCCCCACCCCCCCACCTGCATCCTTGGGGCGGAGCGCCCGTGCCCTTCCAGTAGGCTTCTCGGCCGACTGCTGGCCTGCCAGCAGCCGGTTGCTGGTTTTTGGGTGTAGGGTTTGGGGGGGGGGCAGGGGTTGTCGGCCTTAACCGACAAGATGTCTGTGCTCTGCGAGGCGCAAAGGACTCTGTGTACCACACGCTATCCATGCGCTTGCGACGCCGGGACTTGGCTCCAAGGACAGCCATGTCAGCGGGCATCCTTAACTCTAACCACTCTAACCATGCCTTGCCATGCGGGTTTTTTCAGACTAGAGTCTTGTTATACATATCTTTGGTGATGAAAGAATGCTGGAAGAATAACGTGGCCCACGAAGGGCACTACCTTAACACAACCCTCATCCACAAAGCCCACACCCCTTCTCCAAGAAACATCCCAAAACCGCAGTCCAAAATATGCTACTCAATCAGGGTGGAGCCTAGGAATCATGAGTGCAAGATTTGAAAATCATAAGCTTCCCCCCTTCCCCTAGTTGCAGGCTTCCCTGGACCTTGATGGCGCTGCAGATGCTTGTCTGCCTTCACTGCGGCCAGGTCCAAACGCACGCGCTGGACGTCCTGCGAGTCAGGACGCTGTTGCCACACATCCGGGCCTACCTGTGAGACACCTCCCAAGTATGGCAGAATCCCCTCTTTGAGAAAACCCAAAAAAGGGAACCCTGTATTTCTTGATGAGCTTAGAATCTAAAATTCAGCTTAGTTTCGTCTCTGGGGTTCACACCGGGGGAGTTTCGGCTCCACAACTGAGCCATGAAAGCTTGCTACCTGTCTCGCGGCAACACCACCGACGTGACAACAGTCCGGCAAACACATCCTGCAGATTGGCATGGAAAGCCTTATCATCGCACACAATGGGCAAATGAAACACCGAAACCAACATGCCTGTCGAGCACACGATAGAACTAAGGGCTTTGACGCTAACACTCACACAAGGCAGGCCAGGACTCAATAGGGTTCAAGGCTTAGGGAGGTTTTTGTTTGCCGCCCGCCTGGCTGAACACATTGCAGGGATTTGGCATGAGTATGTCTCGAAGAACGAGGTGCTTCGCTTTGAGGCGCCATGTTCTGTTGGGAGGATACCGGCATCTCCCGATAAATAGGCCTTCCAGACATCAAGCATGACGTTCAATTCAGACCAAGCAAACCACGACCCCACCAGCCCATAGGCTACAACATCAATGCTTGAAGTCGACCGGCCAGCCATTAACAGCACCTGCCGTACCCACCTGGAATAACCAACCACTGCAACCCTCCATCCGTAGGCAAGACTACAGCAGGGACTGTTGGTGCCCGAGCGTTGCTCACACATGAGTTGTTTGGAACCTTCCAGAGCCGCTTAATCTCAGAAAATCCCGCGCGACCACACCAAACCGCCCATAGGTGGTGTAGCTTAGGAGTGCATGGCATCCTTGGCGATTTTGTCTATCGATATGTCAGAGCCATCACCTTGGCAGCAGGCAAGAGCCGTGGGACGTGAGCAGGCAAGGGGCTCCGCTAAATTCCAAAGCGAATCCCGCAAAACAAGCCCTGGGCAAGCAAGATCCAAGAAGCCAAGGCGTTGGCCTCATCCCAGACATTAACCCCCTGTCGGGAATTGCTGACATTGGGGAGTCTTACGACACTCCTCGCCAGGTGAAAGCTGCGACAGTTTAGGGCTTGGAGCAACCCTAGTTGTTTTGTCGGACCAGGTACTGAAAGGTCATCGCAGCTTCTTGCCAAGGATGTGTTCCAAAAAGCCGTGTCTACAGAAAAAGAGCTGCAGTAGCTGTAAGTTCTACACTAAGCACAACGATGTGGGCTGAGGCGTCATTGCTGCGAGCCCACATGGTCCAGTGCTTCGTCCTACCAGCACAGCCTCAACCTTTCGCCGGGTGGCGTGTTGATGGTGGACAAGACACTAGAAGGGCTTTCCTCGTTCGCTGTCCAAAGGCCCGCCTGCACTTGTGCGTAGGGATGGAGATGGAAGGGCTCCTCTCCCGAAGAAAACGGAACTAGCCTCCAACACAAGCCTCAAAGCCAATGTCAAGTAGAGCCCACCTACGTGCATTTAAGACGGCCCAGGATGCCGAAGGTCCTAAACCCTAAACCCTAAACCCTAAACCCTAAACCCTAAACCCTGAACCCTGAACCCTAAACCCTAAACCCTAAACCCTAAACCCGCACCCCCTCCCGGCCGGATCGACGGCAGCCGGCTGTCCGGCCGGCGAACGCTTGCGGCCGAGTTCAGCGAGTGCTCGGAGGCAGGGCCGAGCCTGCAGCTGAGAAGCGATAATCATAGAATAGAAACAAAAATAATAAAACAATTTTGCGTAATTAATTAAAATAGAATTATACAATAACTTTACTTAATTAATATAATAAATATCATGACAGAGGGTCAAACTGGTGCTCTGCGACTTGCGTTCACAAGCGCCTTGGTGTGCTGGTTCCAGGCTCCAGCACCAGTGAGCAGAAGGTATCTTGGCCAAGGTTGCCTGAGGAGATGGATGAGCACAACAGGAACCTAGTTTCGAAGACCGGAACGACTGGAATATAGGCCTTTGGCCTTTGCTTTCTGTGCTGGGAAGAACTTTGCACAGAATTGCCCACCCTCTTGGAAGACTTGGGTATGTGTCTAAGATACTGCTCTGGCATCTGAGTGGCGGAGCTCCAATTTCCCCAGCGCGGGCTCAGCGGCCAATCCTCTCCAAAGAACCAGGAAGCGTCCCTTGTGCCCCGGTCCGATGTTCAGCAAGCATGAATACTGCATCGCGGTGTGGCCAACGATTTAGGAACCCACTGGTAAACATACAGAAGCTTGCGGAACACCCCAGCGGTTGAGAATTGAGACCGATCGCGAATCATGCTGGCACAGCGCGACACTAGGGAGAAGAAAACTCTCAATGCCTTCCAGCCAAGCGCGCAACGGCTCCTGGCAGGTAATAAGTCTACTATCGAGAACCGAAGTTGGCTCAAGAAGTGCCACGGCATGCTTCAAGTCGGAGGGCAGAGGGGGTTGCCACTGCACTGCAAAGGTGCTGAATGCACATGTACACCCGACACTGCTACAGGCAGGCCTCATGCGCAAAGGCGCCACTCATGAGAAGGGAATCAGCTCGCAGGCATGACGGCCAAGCACTGCCGCATTCGTAATCCACTTAGCCCAGTCCGGCAAGCACTGGGACAAAACTCTGAATGGCTCACAACTACGTATGCTACAGCAGATCAACCCTGCACTGGGGCCCTTGGGCGAGAGCTTCTGTGTCTGTAGGCACAAAACCCTTGGGGCACTGCCCCGCTCTTCACATCTTCGTGATGCGCCAGAAAAGAAGGGAAGACAGACGGCGGCGTGGCGGTAAACCCCTTCCCTACCAGAAAGGAAAGCAACAGGGACCTTCAAGAGATACTTTTCGCTGGAATGCATCATACGGAATCATGCCAGATTACGATGCCACATACAGCCCCTACTTTCTAAGGCCCTCGCATTCGGGCATACTTGGGGGGGGAAGCTACGCGCACCAGAGGATGGAAAGGTGAAGAGATGGCAAGTGCAGAAAGCTACGGCCCAGACGATGCAAAGCAGTGAAGAAATCCTCAGCCAACTCTTGGAAGCCGCGTGGAAGCAAAGAAAATAGCTGATCCTTGGAAATAATTAGCTGTTGAGCGGTGCGAAGCAGCAACAAAGCAAGAAGACAGCAGCTACGGTAGGTCCAGAAGACGATCAGCTAAGAAGGAAACGATGCGTCCAAAAAACGGTTTAGGAATCAAGGCATGCATTTTGCTGGAATGCTGTAAGCTTCACTGAGCATAAATCTGTGAAACGCTGCTCGCAGCATGTGCCTCCAACCCACACCTGATACAGATTGTTTACATGTCTCGCCAACGGCATGGTGTCGAGGTCTGCTGCGCCATGATGACAAATATTTGCCAAACGCATCTACGCGAGCGGCAGTGAATTAATCTTACAGTCTCTGGTCACTACGCCATCTCGAACACAAGGCGGAGAGCGTGCGACGTGGACCACTAAGCCACTCGGTGGCAACCGCAAGCCTTCGCGCGGCCTTTGTTTTTGTCCGAACAGTCTCCAGACCCACATATTCTCCACACCTTTGGCTTGGAGGGCAAGGCACCTGGGAGCAAAACCCTGAACCCTGCAAAGACTGATCGAGAAGAGTCGTCAAAATAAGATCAAGGGCTCTAAGGAGAAGGATATCGGGTTCAAGGATGTGAGGTCATGTCCCCAGGCAAACTGGGCTGTGGCTGCAGGATGCTTTGCATCCGGCGACCACACGCGTCTCTACATGTCTGGAGGTTGGTTGTTCAGAATGAGAATAAGATCAGAGCGAGGATCTCGAGAGAGTTGCAAGTTTAATCTGCTCCTCGAGCTGCTCTGCCTGTGGAGGCCTTTATGGTGGCCCTCACAAGCACAAAACTTCGCAGTGCAGGGGGGGGCAGTCGGAGGGAAGCACAACGCAAGAACGTTAGAGAGTTCGGGGCTTTTAGGCGGTCGGAATCAAAGGTCCCTGTGTTGAGGACGACTGCCACAAGCCCCTGGGCCCTGCGAGACTTCCGCAAGGCACGTCCCTGCAAGCCTTGCCCTTCCGACGAAAGATTAGAGGAAGGTATGAAGCCGGGAGAGGATCCCCGGGGGCAAGGCTTGCAAGAAAAAAACAGCCACTCAACCCTAAACCCTAAACCCTAAACCTTAAGGTCTAGGGTTTAGGGTTTAGGGTTTAGGGTTTAGGGTTTAGGGTTTAGGGTTTAGGGTTTAGGGTTTAGGGTTTAGGGTTTAGGGTTTAGGGTTTAGGGCTCAACCTAACCCCTAAACCGCATTAAACGGACGACCCAAACCCTGCAGAGTCACGGCCGGCGGGCGGACACCAAGAAGGGAAGCTTGATGTCACGCAAAGTGGGCCTGGGGGTGGGCTCCTGGCGCATGCCGACGGAGACAGGGTTCAGGGTTCAGGGTTCAGGGTTTCGGTTGGTCGAGTTGATCCTTCTCGGGGTGGTCACAAATGACTCCCCTACCATCCCCTACCGGTCTTATGGAGAGGTTGATCTAGACTGGGATCCTTTTGTTGGGTCCCTGTTGACGGGGCTTTGCTGGAAGAAAGCCACCCAGCATGAACAGCTGGAGGTTGGGTGCAATGGGCCTTGGGAAAAGCGCCGCTTCCGGCAGGCTGGGTTCAAAAGAGCCCAGCCAGCCAACATCTCCTTGGACTTTCAAGGCCGAAGGCCTCTGACAGCAAACTTCTACTTTCGCCTTGCGGGATTGCGAACGCCGACCTCTCCTTCCGAGGTTAAGCAGCCAAACAGAGGACCTCGTTGAACTTTCCCAACACTTCGTATAAGATCCCTGATAGATAGAACCAAAGAACCCTCAACCCTCCACTCTAGAAAAAGGTGCCCGAATTGAACTCTGGGACCTCGTATCAGGAAAATATAACGTAGGGCACCACAATTTAACTCAACCCCTAAACCCTTAACCCCAAACCCCAAACCCTAAACCCTTAACCCCAAACCCTAAAAACCTTGTCCTTCGGGATCAGAGGCGTCGGCGATGCGTCGCGGCGGGGAAGCGCTGGCGACTTCGGTACCTAGAAGCGGGTTGAGGGGTCAGATTCAGGGTCGGATTCAGGTCAGGTTGTTCCGGCTTTTTTGGTAAGAGTCTAAGTTTTCCGTTCTAAGTGGCCCTACTTCTGAGTACCCATGAACCTCCAAGCAAAGCCTCAAGGATTCGGCTTTCTACCCTAAACCCTAAACCCTAAACCCCAAACCCTAAACCTTGGCACGCCGGGGCCCGCCGGCCTCCGGCCCACTAACGACGAACAGTGGCAGCTCTTCGGTACCCGCCGCGGGCGCCCAGTCCTTGGGAGTTTTAGGGTTTAGGGTTTGAGGTTTGAGGTTTAGGGTTTAGGGTTTAGGGTATAGGGTTTAGGGTTTAGGGTTTAGGGTTTAGGGTTTAGGGTTTAGGGTTTAGGGTTTAGGGTTTAGGGTTTAGGGTTTAGGGTTTAGGGTTTAGGGTTTAGGGGTTAGGGGTTTAGGGTTTAGGGTTTAGGGTTAGGGTTTAGGACAACAGGGGTGTATGCCCTGTGCGGGAGTTTAAGGAAACACAGCTGGGTTTTTGGGGAGTCCCTTGTAGGGGGTTATTGTTGCTATTTTTCTTGGGGTACAAGATAAGTAGCCCCTCGATTTTGAAAACATTCTCAGGTGACACAAAGCCAAAGCGGGCAAGGTAACACAGCCATGGCAGATGGACAAATAAATCCGTGGGCAGTATATCCATATCCATCACCCCAAGCAACCCCTTCGCCGAAACCCTAAACCCTAAACCCTAAACCCCTAAACCCTAAACCCTTTTGCCTAAACCCTAAGCCCCCTAAACCCTAAACCCCCTAAACCCTGAAGCTGCCTGGCAGATCTTCGGGCCAGGGCGCTTGGATGCTCTTTTGTGGCACCCAGCCCTGTAGGCCACTGCTCTCGTGCGAGGCACAGTAGAAGTCCCTGGCCGCGTCCACGCCTGAAATTTGGGACTTGGGGCTTGGGCTTTAGGGTTTAGGGTTTAGGGTGTAGGGTTTAGGGTTCAGGGTTCAGGGTTCAGGGTTCAGGGTTCAGGGTTCAGGGTTCAGGGTTCAGGGTTCAGGGTTCAGGGTTCAGGGTTCAGGGTTCAGGGTTTAGGGTTTAGGGTTCAGGGTGTAGGGTTTAGGGTTTAGGGTTTAGGGTTTAGATTTTAGGGTTCAGGGGGATCTGGGGCTTAGGTGTAGCTGGCTTGTGGGATTTCTGGCTTCGATGACGCAGGTAGCTCATGTTCGAGTTGGATGGTCAACAGCGCCGGGCATCTGCTTCATGGGCCGTGAGGCACCGGTACTCTCAAATTGACCAAGGTGCAGGTCACCCACTCACCAGGCGGCAGTTCACCCGCAAGTGCAGATTCCACACTGGGCCGCTGGTACATCTTTACCTGCAAGGCCCAGCGAGAGATTCAGCCGGGCCGCGCGGTCGCCACAGCTGCTTACTGGGGTACATGGACTCATCAAGACTGTCGCGCTGCTTGCAAAGATGGGCCTGGCCTTTCCCTAAACCCTAAACCCTTTTTGAACCCAGGCTCCGATCCTGAAAGCCCTTTACCCTGAACCCCTACCCTCAGATCCCGTCCTTCGACTCACCTTCGAGGGCTTTCAAAGAAGCGCGGGGACGTGGCCCGAAGTGGTAGAGCAGCGCCTCAAGATCCACCCGCCCCTGGGTTAGCCCCTGGGTTAGGGTTTAGGGTTTAGGGTTTAGGGTTTAGGGTTTAGGGTTTAGGGTTTAGGGTTTAGGTTTTAGGGTTTAGGGTATAGGGTTTTAGGGTTTAGGGTTCAGGGTTTCGGGTTTCGGGTTTCGGGTTTCCATGACAAGTTACAAGGCTTGAGGGGCCTAGCGGCTAGCATTCAGGGGGAAGCCTTGGGAGCACGGACCCTCGAAAAAAGCGTCTCCTGCCCTTTCAGGAGGGTTCGTTGAGAATGGTGGGCCCTGGCGACTCCAATGCCGTCAGATGGCTGCTCGGAGCCCGATCTCGGCGCATTTGTCCCAGTACTTTAAGTTCCGGACCTTAGCGAGGCCAAAGGCCGACTGCGTTTTTTGCAAAAGGCTCTGGTCACATCTTGGGGGTGTCGACCCTCATCGCACATGGCAGTTTGGGTTTAGGAATTTCGGGTTTGAGCCTTCGGGAGATCAAGAACAGTTCCCTTTCCAATTATCAGACAGTATGATCGAGTGATGTGGTTTGGGGGAGGTGTAGCGACTTGCGGAGGTGGCGCCCAATTCAGCATCTGCATCCGGGCGGCGCAGCGTGAGGAGAACTCCTCGGACTTGATCCGCTGCCAGCCGTAGAGAGCGCCTGCCATCTGCCCGACGATGGCACCGACCTCAAGCGCGTCGTGGGACTGGAGGTTCATGAGGGTCCCTACAACTAGGGCTATAATTATAGCAACGATGGCTATGACCTGATTTAGGGCACGTCTAACCCTACTGATAGGTGCCCGTGAGCCTCCGAGATGTCAGAGGGCCAGAGCACCCAGAGGCCTCTTTTCAGGTGTGCATGAGTCTGCGGTGGGTTTTGCCGAAGCCCAACTTGCCCACCTGGGCCCCGAATACTAGGCTGCCCAGTAACCAAGGCTGAAAAAAGGGCGCCCTTTTTTGCTTAAAGGGGTTTAGAAGGGAACCTAAACCCCCCAAAAAAGGGAATAAGGGTACTACTGGGCATCCTAGAATATAGACCCCCAAATGGTAGGATTCCCTTGTAATAGCGACCCCAAGGAGGTACCCCCTTTTTACACCCAGGCCTCGTGACGAATGCTGGGTAAGCACACTTCATTTCGGAAACCCCCACTTCCACGCGCGCAAGCCAAGGGACAGTGTCTGCATCACCCAGCAAGTTCACACCTAAACGCACGGCGCCGGAGTAGCTGCTGGAATTCCAGAGAGCCCAAAGAGCCATCGCCAGCCCATCCATACCTTGCACACATTATATCGGGGTCGAATGAAGTCTGCTTCATGCACGAAGCGTCAAAGCATTTAAGTTCTAGCTGTGCATGCCAAGCCCATGTCATTCCAGCTGGCAATCAAGAACATCATCTGCAAATAGTTAAGACGTTCCTTGTTGTTGAGAAATAGCAGATCTGCCAGCAGCTCCTAGACAAAACAGCCGCAACTGGCACTGCAGTTTTTGCAGCAAGGACCTCATAATTAGGGTACTAGACCCCTTAAGGACATAATCAAGAATTAGGTCCTGGAAGTATATGGGAAACTATCTACAAGGTATGCACTCGATAACCATTCCACAAGCCAAGAGGCAGTACGCACCGAAATAGGTGGCGATAGTAGGATGCCCATTGTACCTTGTTGCGTGCATATGGCTGTCAACAGAAAGAATGAGTTAAGTGGGGAGAAAAGGGGAGAAGGAGAGAGAGAGAGAGGGAGGGAGGGAGGGAGGGAGCGAGAGAGAGAGACAGGAGAGCAGGAGGAGGAGGAGGAGGAGGAGGAGAGAAAGAGCTTCCGTGCCCCATGAAACCGCCCCAAACCTTAAACCCTTTTGTACAAACCTTATGTAAACCCTTTTGAAGCTAGGCTTGCTGACTGCCAGACGCCCGCCTATCCTAAACCCTAAACCCTAAACCCCAATCCCTAAATGGAAGCCCATGAAACCGCCTAAACCCTAAACCCTTGTCAACAACCCTAAACCCTAAACCCTAAACCCTAAATGCAAAGCCCACATGGAAACCCTGGGCCAAGCTGCAGGTCCACTCCAGCAGTGCCTTGCCTGGCTGAGATCGCGTCAGCGATCGGCAATCGGGCGACTTTCCAATTCCAGTGCGCCTCTTTCCTGCGCAGGGTTTAGGGTTTAGGGTTTAGGGTTTAGGGTTTAGAGTTTAGGGTTTAGGGTTTCGACTCTCACACTCGGGTTTAGGGTTTAGGGAGTTTTCCGGCCCTCAGCCCCTTAGGGGCTTTTGCCACCTGTTCAAGGATTTGGGTCTAGGGTTTAGGGTTTAGGGTTTAGGGTTTAGGGTTTAGGGTTTAGGGTTTAGGGTTTAGGGTTTAGGGTTTAGGGCTTCTTGCCACCTGCCTAGGGGATGAGGGGTTTTTGGCCAGGGCTTAGGGTTTAGGGTTGCAATCGCGATCTCATCTTGCACAGGGCTCTGGTGATCCTTTGCCCTCACCAGGGGCTCGGACGTTGCTGGGGAGATTGACAGGCTCCGCCCACGAAAGAGAGAAGAAGCAGCAAAAAACAAAAATGCAATACAGGGGCCAGAAGACATCGGCATACAGAGTAGGATTACAGTACAATGTAATCCAGGTGCCATAAATAAGTAGAATTGGGTTTTAGAAAAAAACTATAAACATACTTATATCGGGACAGTCAGGGAATACTAGGTAGTCAAAGTAGGGTTTTTAAGGGTCACTATAACATACATCCTTCTCTCGGGGCCATAAAGGGAATACTAACTATTGCAATGAGCCCTGAACCCTAAACCCTAAACCCTAAACCCTAAACCCTAAACCCTAAACCCTAAACCCTAAACCCTAAACCCAAGTATTCCGACCCCCATGTTAGGGACGCCGCCGTCCTCGAGGGCGCCTGGCTCTGCAGCAGCATGTGCAGCCGACGGGCGCAGGATCCGTCCTGCGGATGAGGCTTGCATTGGAAAGGACTGACAGAAAAGAGCCACCCTCTCCTGCGACTTGCCTAAGAACCCCTCAAAAAACTCACAGAGTATTCTTCCTTATAAAGGGCAGCTTAGGGATGCTCATTCTTAAGCAGATAGCAGTTCGGCGCCTAAAGACATGAGGTGTGACATGTTGTTGGTTCTCCTGGTCGAGCTTCTTCGGCAGCGCCATTCCATCGCCTTGGGGGTTTGTTCGGTGGAGGTCCCCCCCCAAGAAGTCAGAACATCGCTCGGGCCGGGACCTTGCTGAAGGAAGCTGTTGATGTGATTGTCCTGAAGGGTCAAGCCAAGGACAACGACAAAAAAGAGAGAGAAACCCCAAATAAGAACCCCCACCTGGATTCATGGGGGACTGTCAACAAGATCATACTGATGTGTAGAAAATCTTAAGTTGTACACCCTTAAAATTGCAGACAGGAGACCAAGAAGGCCTGCGGATCACCGATAGGGTCTAGAACGGTCAGCCTGAGTCGCGCACGGGCCACGCACTGCCGGAGGCTTGCGGGCCGGAAAGGAACATCGTGGTTAACTGATCGAAGCCATCAAGAAGCTTCTTAAGGATCAACCCATGCATGTAACATAGGGGCCTAAATCAGTAGAATTGATTTTTTCTTTGGAGGGGGGGGGGGGTTGTTGTAGTATGAAGAATAAAGGGACCATACGGGAATTACCATTCATTTCTATTCCGACCCCTATACGACAGCTCTGGAACCGGACACTGGTACATGCTTGTGTCCAAGCAGCTCTGCATCGGAGGTTTTCCCAGCATCCCTGGAAGGAAGCCGAGGGTGCAGATGCGCGGAACTCAGGCTAGGCTGCAGTCGGATGTCTACAATCGGGCGCAGCACACCTGCGTTTTGTGGCTCCCATATCCCTGCCAACACCCTGTTTTTTTTACCCTAAACCCTAAACCCCAAACCCTAAACCCTAAACCCTAAACCCTGAACCCTAAACCCCAAACCCTAAACCCAAAGAGCGGCATCCCATGCACAGGCCTATGGCGGCCAATGGCTGCCACACAGAAGGAGGCGATGAACCGGCAGCAAAGTGCGGCCTTCAGGGTCCCGGTTGAGGGCTTCGGGCTTGCGATTACTAGGTGGCGTGTGGCGAACTGAAAACTTATGGTTCGAGTTAAGGCCACACATGTTGCTAGCAAGGCTAGAAGTCCAGTATGTTGGGGGGTCAAGGGGACTTTCATCTTGCATTGACTTGAGCAGCTACAGTAGGCTTAAGGTATTCAGCGCATGCATGGAAAACCCCTAAGCCCTGTTCCCAGAATCCCCGAAATCCGCACATCGGCCTCGGAGCCAGGGTGGGTGGCTAAGGACTGCCACCCAGCCACCTGCTACACAAAGCCCCTTAGGCATGCAAGGCTCGGAAACATGTGGCCCGAACACGTCATGAGGGCTCCCAACGCGCAAGTACCCCTTGAGGCTGTGTCGGCTCCATGGCATGACTTTCGCAATATTTCACGGCTATAGTGGAGAAGCCCACTGTAAATAACAATGTATGTGCATATACATATGTATATGTATATGCATATGTATGCAAATACATATGCATATGTCTATGTCTATGTCTATGTCTATGTATGTGTATATGTGTATAGATTGTATATGTATATATGTATAATTGTGTATACATGTATATATGTATATATGTGTATATGTATATATGTATATATGTATATATGTATATATGTATATATGTATATATGTATATATGTATATATGTATATGTATATATATATATATATGTATGTATTCCGTTGCAGATAGAGCTTCTTTGCACTAACATATGCAAAAAAATGGAAAGCAAAAGGCGGGTTAAGACCCGAGGCCCACCTCCAAGGCTTGCGACGGCACCAGATGGTAGGCCACCGGGACTGGGCCCAGCCTCATGATGGAGCCTCACTGCCATGCATATTCACACAAATCTGAATTATCTATGAATATATATATATATGTAAATATGTGTGTGTGTGATCTTTCAAAGATACATATATACATATATACGAAAACTATTTACATAGGTATATAGATATATCTATATATATATATATATATATATATACGTATGTATGTATGCATGCGTGCATGTATGTGAATAAATATATGTGTGCGTCTTTTCAAAATGATAATTTTATATAGACAAGAAAGAAAGGGAACGAATCCAAGCATGTGGGAGTCTAGGATCTCGGGCCCCCAGGGCTCTCCTGGTTTTGCAAATGCGGGTCGAACAGGGTTGAGGGTTCAGGGTTTAAGGCTTCATTCGAGGGTATGTGGTACTGGGCTCTCCTTCGAGATCGGGGTCCTATGCAGGGGAGACTCACTAGTGCGGAGGCTACAGGACATCTAGGCTGGAAGCATCTGGGAACCTAAGACAGCATGAATGTCCATCGGCTGCTCCGATTGCACTCCTTTGGCGATGAGATTCGGGAGATGAGATCATGCGGCTTCCGCAAACTACTTGAAAAGCATGCCCTCATGTAGGGCGTTGGGCTGCGCAGAGCTGTACCATCTATTGCAGCCCTGGCCAAAACTGTAGCCACACAGCTTTGAAGCGCTTGTATTTGGGGTGTCGCTGGGTGCTCCCACTGACAGGCCCTTCTAGCATAAAGACTGCGAAGACTGGTCTGGCAACTGGGATTGCAGTGTTTCTGCAGTGCCTGAGATGAGGGTTGTTATTTCTCAGAAGGCAGATAGGGCACCCAATGTGCTCTGTGGCAGGTGCTGGTTCAAATTCGTGCCAACCCTCGCGCCCCGTGCCGGAATTGCTACGGCAGCTGGGGGTTAAATAGTTGGCTGGAAAACGGTCCGCCGTCAGACCTTGGGCAGTGCCAAGATGGCATGCACAACATCAACATCTCCCACGAGGGATGCAATGGCAAGATGGTGCAAGATGTAAGGTCAAACATCTGAAGCATGCCGTGGCGGATGCCCCCTGACTTCTGGCACTGGCCACTACGGTGACCACGTAGGCATGGAAAGGTCTCGGCAACTTCAACATCCTGAATCCTGGCCTCCTTCTCGGTCTAGCAAATACCTCTCCAGGCCTCGTGGACACAAGAACAGGACCATGCCAGGTCGACGTGCCGCGCGAGTCCTGAAAATCGATGCCTGCCAAACTGTCCCTGGTTCCATCAATTACAGTCCGGGATGGGGTCGGCACGCCTTTCACTGCACATAAATTCCGACTGCCCTGATTGTCAGGAGAGTCCTGAGGCTGCAGATGCAGGTCACACACACACACACAGACCCCACTTCCTTCACAGGTCAACTTTGCGCACTGCGGTTGTGACTTGCATCCGCTGCAAAGCTTGCAACGTGCCCGCAAGCCTCTCAGAGGGCTTTGGGTCACTCGACTGCTGCCAAGCACAATGCTTCATGTACGGAATCCTGTCAAATCCATGTTGCACCACAAGTCATGGCGGTCGACAGGCTCCAGATCATTGAATTGCCGCACGAATTCAGCAGCGTAAGCGAAGAGATCCTCGCAACGACTGTGCAGCTCTGCACTACGGCCCACAACATGTCATGACGACTCTCGTAGTAAGCCTGCCTGCTTAGGCTTAGACTATATAAGTACAATTCTAAGACAGACAGACAGACAGACAGACAGACAGGCAGGCAGACAGGCAGGCAGGCAGGCAGGCAGGCAGACAGACAGACAGACACACACACACACACACACACATACACACACACACACACACACACACACATACATGTACCCGGAGCAAATGTCAATCTGCGACGTGAGCCATGATGCCCTCCGGAGTAGTCTTCCTGCTCTTTGCATGCAAGCTGCAATTTCGGGGCAGGTATTCTTCAGGGCGAGCCTCAGTCAAAACGAAGTGTCAAGTCATCGCAGTTGAGCAATCTGCTTCCCTTCTTCGGTCTTCATCCAAGAGACTCCTGGAAGGTCTTTGCGCTGAGAAGAAGAAGCCTGTGTGCACATCTGCGTGGTCATGTGTTCTGTCTAACCATCCCGGCACGGCTAAGGTGTCTCGGGACGAGTTCCCAGCAAAGCAAAACGACGTCGCCTGACGCGCATGGACGCCACCCGCAACGTGCCGTGATGGAGCCAATCTGTCCACAGCACCTCTGGGCGGGGCGAGGCGCTCCCCAGCTCTTCCGCAACTAGGGGGTTTCCGAAATTCAGGGGCACCTTTTTTGGGTTCCTTACAATACGGGAGTCCTACTATTTGGGGGTTCATATTGCAGTCCTTATGACAAGGGAATCCTTCTATTTGGGGGTCCATTATTTTCGTAAACATCCACTTCTCTTACCAGACAGGCGTTGGGGATGGCAAGGAGGCCAGCGCCCTGAGACCTATCCCTAAACCCTAAACCCTAAACCCTAAACCCCAAACCCTAAACCCTAAACCCTAAACCCCAAACCCTACACACAGCCCCCCTCAGTTGGCAAGGCGCCGGCTCCGCAGCGTGATGGCCGTGGTTGAGGTGCATGGACTCAAACTTGCCGCTGCGGAAGTACACGAGGTCCCCGTCGGTGATGAAGACCATCCGGGGCTCCACCGGCACCTCCCCTGACCGAATTTAGGGTTTAGGGTTTAGGGTTTAGGGTTTAGGGTTTAGGGTTTAGGGTTTAGGGTTTAGGGACTCGGGTTTAGGGTTTAGGATTTTGGGTCTAGGGTTTAGGGTTTAGGGTTTTGGGTCTAGGGTCTAGGGTTTCGGGTTTAGGGTTTCGGGTTCCGGCACCTCCCCTGCAAATTAGGGAACCCTGGTCACCGCCCCCTTTTTGAGGGTTCTTTGGACCTTACTTGAAGGTTCATGGGTACTTCTGGGTAAGGTCATAAGTACCAAAATAGAGTTATGACCGTAGTTACCCGACTGATAACCCTCCTTATAAGTACGCATGAACCTCCAAGTATTGTGGGTGGGGGCGCGCTTGGTACCGGAAATGCCGTTCTGCAAGCGACTCGCACCCTGAAAATTCAGAACACCCCTAAACCCCAACCCTAAACCCTAAACCCTAAACCCTAAACCCTAAACCTCTCCTACCATATAATTATAAACCTTAGTGGTATTCGTGGGCAAAGCCCAAATATTCGTGGGCAAGGCCCAAAGATTCGTGGGCAAGGCCCAAATATTCGTGGGCAAGGCCCATAATCCGGATTTTGGGCATTGCCCACGAATTTTTGGGCCTTGCCCACAAATTTTTGGGCTTTTTAGTTCGTGGGCAAGGCCCACGAACATTTGGGCCTTGCCCACGAACCCTTGCCCACGAACCAAAAGGCCCAAAAATTCGTGGGCAAGGCCCAAATGTTCGTGGGCAAGGCCCAAATGGTCGTGGGCAAGGCCCAAATGTTCGTGGGCAAGGCCCAAACATTCGTGGGCAAGGCCCAAACATTCGTGGGCAAGGCCCAAATATTCGTGGGCAAGGCCCAAGTGGGCAAAACCCAAATATTCGTGGGCAAGGCCCGAATATTCGTGGGCAAGGCCCGAAGCCCACGAAGGCCCAAATATTCGTGGGGCAAGGCCCAAATATTCGTGGGCAAGGCCCAAATATTCGTGGGCAAGGCCCAAATGTTCGTGGGCAAGGCCCGGCCTGGAGCCCCTCAACCCTTGAGACCCTAAACCCTTGAGACCCTGAACCCTTGAGACCCTAAACCCTTGAGCCCCTAAACCCTTGAGACCCAAAAGCCTTGAGTCCCTAAACCCTTCTAAACCCTTGAGACCCTAAACCCTTGAGACCCTAAACCCATCAGTTTTGATGTTGAGCCATCCTAAAAACAAGAAGAAACTTTGTATTTCTTAATGTTATGGGAACTCCGGGTGGGTGGGTATTTTTCGATGGTCTAAAACAGCGCACCTAAACGAGAAACTGCTCGACCAGGAGCTCTTGAACCCTAAACCCAAACCCTATGCGCGCCTTGGATGAAAACTAGATCACCGTGGGAGATGAGAGCCAGGGAGATCGCCGTGTGGCAGAGCCTCTGAAAAACACGGAGGAGCGGCACAATACCAGGGGTTTAGGGTTAAGGGTTTAGGGTTTAGGGTTGTAAGTACCCTAAACAGGGCAATAACCATAGTTACCCTTGCTTATGCCCTAGGGTTTAGGATCTAGAATTCTATCAGATTACCCTTAGGGCTTAGGGCTTAGGGCTTAGGGCTTAGGGCTTAGGGCTTAGGGCTTAGGGCTTAGGGCTTAGGGCTTAGGGCTTAGGGCTGAGGCCTTAGGGCTGAGAGGGTTCCTGAAGGGCTGAGCTCAGGGCTTCGGAGTTCGGGGCCGAACCGCTCGCAACTGGGGCAAAGCCGGGTTGGACAGGGCTTAGGGTTTTAGGGTTTTAGGGTCTTAGGGTTTAGGGTTTAGGGTTTAGGGTTTAGGGTTTAGGGTTTAGGGTTTAGGGCTTAGGGCTTAGGGCTTAGGGCTTAGGGAGAAAGAGTGCTGCGAGGCGCTCCGTGCTCGTAGCCTACGCAGACAAGGCTTAGGGTGCGGGACGCGGGGATTCTGCTGGCATCCCACACCACCCCCAATGATGGAATTTGGGGGGTAAGGGTTTCTAGGGATTCGGACCCAATTCTAGGAGATGAGCATATGGCAAGGAGTTCGGGGGGGCGTGGGTCATAGAGGGAAAGGGGGAAAGGGCGAAGGCTATTTTTTGAAGGTTTCGACCTCGGAGATTGGGGGTTCGTAAGCTGCCAAACCAGACACTGCTTCACCATCTGCGCCGTCATCGGCGCCAGCAGCCTCGGTCTTCGGATGGAAGGGGGATGTCTCAACAAGTGCACTCCACACATCCTGCGACCCGCCCCTCCAGCAAGTTCATCAACCGCAACCATCACTACATCGCCACCAAAGCAACACCACTACCTTCCAGGGGGGGGTACAGGGTTTAGGATTTAGGTTTAAGGTTTAGGGTTTCGAATCTGGCAGGCAAGGATTCAATCCGGGTTCGTCTGTGTCGGCTGCCAGCTCTGGTCTTACCCTCCAGCTTTAACTAAACATAAGTCCAAGGTCAACTAATGCACAAGATCCTCATGTCCTAGACATATGAACTTCCTTGTCAGACCCGACCTGGTGTGTCGAAGCGATCTTGCTTTGGACCATACCACTAGGCTTAGGGCTCGGGTTCCGGATTCTATTTTTGGGAGGGGGGTTTAGGGCCGAAGGAGTGGCTGTGCCAACTTATGCAACCCATGTGAGCCCAAGAACACCAAGGCCTCCGCCTCACTTGGTCATCGGAACTAAATATTTTGGGGCTGCCTTGGAGTAGGAACCCCCTAAACCCCTAAACCCCTAAACCCTAGGCCCTAAACCCCTAAACCCCTAAACCCCTAAACCCTAGGCCCTAAACTTTAATCTATAAACCCTAAATGGACCATGTTTTAGAGAAGCGACCACAGAGTTGGCATAGTCTTTAGTTTGGGAAGCGGCTCAGGAGCCCAAACGTCCCAGAGACGGGTACGCCATGCTTATTCTTTCGGTTTAGGGTTTAGGGTTCAGGGTTTAGGGCTAGGGTTTAGGGCTAGGGTTTAGGGCTAGGGTTTAGGGCTGGGGTTTAGGGTTTACGGTTTTCCCTCAAGTCCAGAAAGCTGCGAACCCTGAAACCCTCGAGCCGGAACCCCCAAAGCGCCCCAAGTGGCGGATGGTGGCGCAAGGCTGGCCCGTACATCTCGCAGTGGAGCTCCATCCTCGGCTGCTTCGGGTAGAGGGTTTAGGGATGTTCCCCCTTATACTAACAACTCCCTTGTAGGGATTAGAGTACCCCCCTGTCAGAATCCCTCTTAAGGACTCCTAGTATAACGGGAGCATCCCAAGACATAGGGGTTTAGGGAATGGGGCTCGGGGGTTCATCAGGTTCAAGGGGCGCCCGGAACTGGATCAACAAATTTCGAGAGTTGACCTTGAAAACATATGGCTGGACCCGCTCCCCAGCTGATGTGGGGGTGCTGCTCGGCTCTTGCTTTCTTATTTTTGTGGCAACAGCTCTCTGCGAGGTCGGTGACAAGGCCTTAGGATTTAGGGTACACTGTCCCAGCATCCGGAGGTTCTCGGAAACCAGCTGGAGGAACTCCACCTGACCAGCGCCAATTCGGGCCCAAGAGCGAAGAGAACGAGGAAGCTCACCCCTCCTTGTAGCCGACTTAGGTATAAGTAAGGGTCAGTTAAAGCTTGAGGACTTCAGACTCTCTCTCTCTCTCTCTCTCTCTCTCTCTCTCTCCTGCACGCATAGCCCCCCCCGAAGAGAGGGCCGCCCCGAGGGGCGCGAGATGTCCGAGGTCTCGTGACTCCCATCATGTTGACGGGGCAAAGAAAAGTAGGAAAGGCCGTAGGGTAAAAACATGCACCTGGGGGACTCTGTTGGTTTTTCCCCCCAGGGTGCCTATCATAGTGTTGGATCGAGGGTACCGCCCTGAATTTCTCTCTCTCTCTCTCTCTCTCTCTCTCCTCTGAATACCCCCCTCCCCCTCCCCCAAAGTGAGAGGAAACGCCTCAGTCTCCGGGACGGCGTGGGACTGGGCAGTCAAGGCTGCCTTCCTGGGGCTTCAAGGGGAGGCCATCAGAGGGGTTCTCAGATCGGGGGCTCAGAGGGCTCACGGTGGTGGCAAGAAAGCGCTCGCGATTTTTTTGGGCACCCTCGCACAAGGTGGGCGAAGCAACAGTCCAGTGTGAATTCCTCGTGAGACACGCAAGCTCCGGCGCTCAAGGTGAGCTTCAAGGTACGACGGTTGAGAGGTCGGAGCAACTCTTAGCTGAAGCAATGTGCCGTGTGCTGTTTTTGGCAACACGTGTCAGCTGCGTTTTGATGCCTCAGCTTTTGACTTTCGACTTTCGCTTGGGCCATCGACTCAGGGGGTCTTGAAGAGCATCACACCCATCTGTCCAATGTAGAAGTAGCAATAGCAGGCCTTCTCGTGCGTCACGTAGCTGGAGAAGTGACGACCCACCATGCAATGCCAAGTTGGGCCATACTCATTCTCGAACTGCTCCTTCAAGTCCGATGCGATGTCCTTCTCCAAGTTGTACTTGTCCATTGCATACAAGGTGCGGTTGACCGCGAACTCCAACATGTCTGGCTCCATGTCCACTTGCCGGACGACCGGCTTCGACGTCGCCATCGCCTGCTTTCTGGCACACGGTGTGTGCAACTGGAGCTGCAAAGAGGTTGCCCCCACAACTTAAGCCAAAGCCTGCGCAAGGACAATGATGGAAGAGAGTGATTGGAATTCACGGAAGGGTCCCTGCAAACATGAAGCTCGTGATTCTTGGGCGCACAGGATGCTTTCTTTCGGCTTCAGGGCTTTGTCTTTTTGCGTTCTTGGCTTTGAGGGCTTCGCGACTCGGGCTTCCCCTTCTGGGGACGGCATAAAAACAACTGCAGCTGTGCTTCAAGTTCGAGTGGATCCGCGCCGTCAGCTGCCTTGAGATGCCGTTGTCCTTAGTGGGCAAAGATCCAGCACTCCGCACTTGCAAGGTGATCGCTCCAAGATCGGAGTTGTCGATTCCAAGGCCAGGCATCGATGAGAAACCAGCGCAGCACGCGCTGATGCCCTGCCTGTATGCCGGTGATGAGGTACAGCCTGCGGCCGGCGTGAGGCTTAGAAGGACCTTTTTGCATGCCATGCTCCAGCAAAGGTTTCTCGTGCGCTCTGAGCCTGCTGAACAGGTCCGAGTCAGAAGTCATGTCTCAAGTTAGTAGCTGGACCCCACCTAGACTAGCGGAACGAGGCATGTCTTGAAGAGTTGCTGCCTACGGCGAACAAGGTTTCTCGCAGAGAGCACATGACACCGCACCGGAATCCCACCTGGTCATGGCTGACGTCATGCTCGAAATGAAGACCACCGCAAGGATGTAGGCCATGAGCAGGTAGCAGAATGCAAAGATACGCTCCTTCACTTGGCTGCACTCAGGAGGGTAGCTAGAAACCAAACTTTTAGCTGCCTTAATAAGAAACCCAATAAACCCAAAAAAGGTAAGGAAGTACCACAAAGTTCATTGCCGACAAGGATATAAAGGAAGGCATAGCTGAGGCACAGCTGGGGCCCTAAACTTTACAAACCCGGTGGACGAAACTCTAAACCCTAAACCCCTAACCCCTAAACCCCGAACCCTAAACCCTTTTTAAGACTAAACCCTGAACCCTAAACCCTAAACCCTAACCTTCCCAAAAAAAAGCAAGAACAGAAGCTGCGTGGAGGGAGGGCCGTTTCAAGGTCTCCCGGCCTCGACCGTAACTGGGTAGAGCTCCATGGATCCATGGAACTGCGCCAAGGTCCAGTGGAAGGCAATGCTGTACCTTTGTTTGAGGTTTAGGGTTTAGGGCTTGGGGTTTAGGGTTTAGGGCTAGGGTTTAGGGTTTAGGGTCTAGGGCTTAGGGCGTTGTGTTTAGGGTTGCGTCTCTCTGTCCGTGAGACTCTTTGCGCTTCGGGCTTCTGGGATCAACCAAAGCATGAGATTTCAGCAGGGGCCCTCTTGGACCCTTTTCATCTTATCTCCTCCTCACACCCCTACACCCCAAACTCTGAACACTGCACCCGAGAACCCCGACACCGAACCCCCCCCCCTGCCCTACCACGGTGCTGCTGCACGTCGGAGACGCCGGGCTTGTGATAGGAGACCCAACCGCCCTCCTGGCGCATTCTTGTGGTTTGGTACTCTTATTGTGGTTGGGTGTTGTGGCTTGTATACAAATCATGTGAGTGTGAAGTATTCAACATGGAAAAACATAATGCCCCTCATACTCGTCCATTCCTGATTCAATGGTTTGTTTCTAATACTGTGGTTTCTCGTGATGTTCAGCTCAGACTCAAATGTCGCTGGTGTTCGAAGACTGGACACCATCTGGATCTAGGACTCTCGCGGGGCTTGCGGTTTTGAACTTCTTGCAAACTGCAGGTTTTGCATCCAGACCACTGATCCAAGCCCATACACCAGCACATTCACTACCTCGTTTGGCCTAAAGCTCTCTTCTGTCAAAACTTAAGCGTGTGTGGCGTGCGTGTACACACACACACACACACACACTATATAGACACATAGACAGATAGACATATAGGCATATAGACATATAAACATAAGCTTTATACAGCAATATGCAGTCTTTATAGTCTGATCGCACAGCTCCGCCTGAGTACCGACTGCTTTTAGGACTTGGCCCGTCTGAGCTGCCATAAAGGAACTAAAATGAAGCGATCGCGATGAAGGAAGCCACGTTGTTTACTACAGGATTTGGGGTTAGGCTGTAGTTGCCGCAAGAAAGGGAACAATGAACATTTACTACGTGCTCTTCTACTTTGGTAACCTGGTTTAGTTATGCAACAGCAACCCATAGTGCGCACGATATGGGGTAGATTTTCGTTAGCGATGGACTCTATGTCCACCCTATCTACCAGTATGTTTCTGAGCCGCTGGCCTGAGTGATCAAAAACCGAGACCATCCCTACGTCAAGGCTGTCTGGCAGGCGGGCAGTTTGTCTGGGGCAGACTTGGTATGCTTTCATCGGGGCTTGCAGTAACCTCTCCATCTACACATTTCGGACAGCACCCAGCCTGTCGCCCCAGGCTCAGCCAGAGGCAGGCAATGAAATGAAGGAACACGGCCAACCAGAGAATCTTTCCTGTTGCGCATGGGGTTGGGGGCTGAGGCGGCTGTCAAAAGAACTGTGTCGATTCAGGAAGCACCAATCATTGCCTTGTCTAACCTTGCGAAGGCGGAAATGCTCGTTTACCCGACACCGGCCACAGGCCCAGTCCAGCCTGAAATCCCGATGCACAACACTGCTCGTTCCGAACCTCAGACATCCGCGCATTGAGCTTCAGGAAGCATCGGATGCTCTACAACACTGGCAGTGGAAAATCGAAACAGTTCTGGGGCGGTTGGGGGCTTTGGTGGTCAAGCGGATTAACCCAAAAGAAGTAACTCCTAGTGGTGGGATAACTATAGCTCGGTATGGCAGCGACTGGTGGCCGATCTTGACTCTAGCTTGAAAAATAGAAGATACGTAGATAAAAGTAAAAGATGAAGCTCCGGACTAACACTAAGTCCGCCACGAATGTTGTTCGAGATGAGCTGTATGATTGCCTTGCGCAGACAAGCCCAGAAGCTGTGCTTTGTCTCGGCTCTCGATGTTTGGGGAGGCCGCGTGATAAAGCCCGAATTGAACCATCACTGACTTCTGATCCGAAGCCGAAAGTCAGATCTGAAACCTGCACAAGCTGAGAGGTTGATTTCGTTTTTCGCCTGGAGTCGGTCGCTCTGGGGCTTCTGAGCAGAGCCCCAAACCGAAACCCTGAACCCAATTTAGGGTGGGTTTGGGGTTTAGGGTTTAGGGGGTTTAGGGGGTTTAGGGGGTTTAGGGGGTTTAGGGGGTTTAGGGGGTTTAGGGGGTTTAGGGGGTTTAAGGGGTTTAGGGGGTTTAGGGTTTAGGGGGTTTAGTTTAGGGGTTTAGGGGGTTTAGGGGGTTTAGGGGGTTTAGGGGGTTTAGGGGGTTTAGGGGGTTTAGGGGGTTTAGGGGGTTTAGGGGGTTTAGGGGGTTTAGGGGTTTAGGGGGTTGAGGGGGTTGAGGGGGTTTAGGGGGTTTAGGGGGTTTAGGGGGTTTAGGGGGTTTAGGGGGTTTAGGGGGTTTAGGGGGTTTAGGGGGTTTAGGGGGTTTAGGTTTTAGGGTTTAGGGTTTCGGGTTGCAAGGAGACCTTGGGTTCTGGGGACAACAGCGACGTCAAGATCCCATATTGGGCCCCGGCACCGGCACTGCGCCCCTTGAAAAAACGACACACTCGCACGACCTGAAAAGAAAGGTTGGGGGATATAGGGAGGGGACACACTCGACGAAGGGGAAATTCAACCACCTACACCCCCCTGATGAATCCCTACGAAGACCACAAATCCTAGACCTATTTTTTGACAACCGGCCCTAAACACCCCCCACCCCCCCCCCCCTCGCCTCGACGCGGTAGAGTCGCACAAGCCGGCAGATGCGCAGGAACTTGAAGCTCCTTTTTGAGTTCTCAACCCTCTGCGAACAAAAAATGTCCCAGGGTCCTGCCTGCTCCCTTGTTGGGGGTTTTGGGGGCTGGGTGTTTCGGGTTTGGGGTTGTTGGCTTCGGGTGTTTAGGGTTGTTTAGGGCTGTTTAGGGTTTGGCAGGGTTGTTCAGGGTTGCTCAGGGTTGTTCAGGGTTGTTGAGGGTGGTCTTCAGGGTTCTTCAGGCTTCGACCGCCCCAAAACCTTCTCTCCAGGCAGTCTCGTCGAAAAGACCCAGCACCGCATTCACAGCGAACATCAAGAAAGACGCCAACGCATCACTACCCCTAAGCCCTAAACCCCACGGCCTACACCCTAAACCCTCAACCCTAAACCCTAAACACCAAACATCAAACCGGCTCCAACCGTCCGTTATGGATGTTCAGGGACTGAAGGCGCAAGCAGGCGTATGGCCGAGCGAGGGTTCGGAGTAGGATGGGGCCTTGAAGCAGTGGAGGGGCAGCCCTAAACCCTAAACCCTAAATTCCCACCCGGCCTGCTTAGGCCATACCCGCCCTTTACTAGGGTGCCTGGACCCAGAACTAAACCCGGCAGCGAGACACAACTTTACTGGATGGACAATGGGGTGGTGCCATTGGAGAATGGTTGAAAACAGCCCCTAGAACTGAGCCTTGCCTTGCGACCACTCACGTGGCGCGGACGTTTCCGAGGGGGGGGTACCCCCCCCCCCCCTCTCCCTGCCTGACCCCGTCTGGCCTCCTGGCCCCCCTGCCTTCCCTCCCTTGGGCCCCCCTGATCCGCCTCAGCCCTCCAAATTCGGAGCAATGGTGGGAATTGAGGGCGACAGCCCTAAACCCTAAAAGGCAGTGGTTTGGGTGGTGGCCTGTGAAAGCTCACAGCGGGTGGGGGGAAAGAAAGCAGCACCAATGAAAACAGATGCCTTCGCGTGACATGCCGCCCCCCCCACACCCCCTGGGTGTGCAGGGGCGCCATTTCCTAAACCCTGGCAGGTCCACAAGGAACCCGCGCAAAAGTGTGGCCCCACCAGCAAACATGAGGTGCAGGACTTAGGTCACAGCCTTTAGTGTTGAGTAAAGACGCCTTTCTGCTCCCCAGTGCGCCTAGAAGCAAGAACTTCCAGCCATTTCTGCCCAGAAGGTTTAACCTTCTCGGAACTCTCGGAACGGATTAGACGATGTCGACCATGGACGTCATCATGCTTGGGCCATGGATGCTCCCTTCTCATCAGAGCAGAGTAGACCATGGACATCATCATGCTTGGGCCATGGATGCTCTCTTACCAGAACGGATTAGACCATGGACGTCATCATGGTTGGGCCATGGCAGTGCAGCAAACATGTAGACCATGGACGTCATCATGCCTGGGCCATGGACGCTCTCTTCTCATCAGAACAGAGTAGACCATGGACGTCATCATGCTTGGGCCATGGGTGCTCTCTTCCCAGAACGGCTTAGACTATGGGGCCATGGATGCTCTCTTCTGTAAATGGTGACGCAAACGCGTTATGTAGACTCAGGGCTGGGCAGAAGCGGATGTAAGCAAGACAGGGCTTACTTTAGGACACGTCGAAAGTGCGAAGTAGTGCAAAAAAACCCACAAATACCAGTGCAGTCTACGGATGCCCAAAAAATTGCAAGATAATTTTGGGTAAACATTGCGGGGATGAGGTGATGGGAGAAACCAAGGAAACACCGGTATTTAGAGCTAAACGGTCCAAAAAGCGGTGGGTCTCTTATGGCCCCGCCACCCTAAACCCGGAGTGTGAAAAGCAAAGCAGCAAGCGAATCGGGCCAAGAGTCTGTGCGAATGCGAAGTGCTCCACCCAGGACATGACTGCCAACGCGGCATCAGGCAAGAAGGAGCCTGAAAAGAAAAAAAACAAACTATTATGGCTGGAACCCTTTTTGGGGTTCTTCTAACCCTAAGCCCTGCGCCCCTAGTGCGCCTCCCAAATAACGCCGGAAGGTGTAACTCACTCGTGTCTCCCAAGTGCCGTCACTGCCTCGGAGCACAGGGCCAGGGTTTAGGGTTTAGGGTTTAGGGTTTAGGGTTTAGGGTTTAGGGTTTAGGGTTTAGGATTTAGGATTTAGGATTTAGGATTTGGGGTTTAGGGTTGGAATCTCAGAGGGCAATGGGAGCTTCCAGCTAGGCAAACAGGAGTACCCCAAAGAGTACGGAGATGTCCAGAGGTAAAGAATTTGGGGGAGCGGGCGCTCTGCTAGAGTGTGTGAGTCAGCCGACGCCCCAGCACATGAGTATTGCCAGAGAGGCTTGGGATCTATGGGACTTAAGCATGTCTAGGATGGAGGATATTGGGCCAGGAAGGTTGCTCTAGCAACTTCCCTCCCTGGACCTTGCAGTCATGGTAGACCCAAGCCCTAAACCCGAAACCCCAAACCCTAAACCGTCGGGACCACATCTCGCCGAAGTGCGCTCGAACGTGATGGTGCTGGACACTGCCAAATCCACTGTCCAAGCCAGTGTCAGGGGCCATGCCAGTGTTTCTGACCTGCTTGGAGGTTCATTAGGGTGGAAGTAGGGTAACTATGGGGGTTTAGGGTTTAGGGTGTAGGGTTTAGGGTTTGGGGTTTAGAGTTTAGGGCTTAGGGCTTAGGGCTTAGGGCTTAGGGCTTAGGGCTTAGGGCTTAGGGCTTAGGGCTTAGGGCTCAGGGCTCAGGGCTCAGGGCTTAGGGCTTAGGGCTTAGGGCTTAGGGCTTAGGGCTTAGGGCTTAGGGCTTAGGGCTTAGGGCTTAGGGTGTTGCAGACGGGCGGCGTGGAAACCTGGATGCCCAAGAGCTGGAGCGGCAGCACAATGCCATCATGCAGGACGATGCAGCAAATCAACATGTCCCACGTGATCTTCTTGGCCGAGAAGGGCTTGATGACAAACCGCGCCTGAGATTCACCATCAAAGCACTGACGTGCTCAGCGCGTTCTACCAAGACCTCCACATCGCCTACACGTGTATGCAAGTTCTGTGCGAGGCACCTTCTCATCCTCAAACTGGTCATGGAAGTCGCTGAAAACCTTGCTCAGCGATGATCTGGTCACCAGGCGGTGGAACTTCGTCACCTGCTGCAAGAATCGCGATGGGAGTCGCGATGTGTGTAAGTCTTTGAGTAAGTCTTGGGGTTGGTTTCTTTTGCGTTGTCCTTCTGGAGACCTGGCTGCCGTTTCATGTCGTTCGCCGTTGAAGGCGTCATCCTGCAGCTGTCTCTTCGACTTTACACCCCTGGAAACTAGGAAAGCTGCCACCCCGTTAGAGCATCTGGGAGAGGGGCCCCCCCGGTCGATGGACATCACGTGACCGCGCAAGCTGTTGCATTTGATTCGGCTTTGGGTCTGGGATTCAAAGAGTTGGTCGCTACCAGTGTAGTGGTCACAAGTTTGACAACGTCCCGGTTGGGCTGCAAACTCGGCGCAAGCCTTGGCCGAATGCTTCGCACTTCGGTTCCAGCACGGAAGCAGCTCGAACCTGGCGGCCGGTGCAGTCGCGACTGCAGTGGCACGGTTGAAGGACTCTAGGCACGGACTCTACCTCCCACCTGCTCCAAACAGTTTCATGAAACCCTGAACCCTAAACCCTAATTTACGGCTAGGACTGCTGCACTGCCAAACCCTAAACCCTAAACCCTAAACCCAGCTGGCAACTTGGTCTCTCGGCCGAGGCGCTCGTAGTCAAAGTCGTCGGTCAAGGGCTGGCAGCCGGGACCCTCGAGGCTCAGACGGCTGTCTTGCCGGAAGAAGGGCCCCCCGAAGAAGGAGGCCACGGATCCCTGGGTTTAGGGTTTAGGGTTTAGGGTTTAGGGTTTAGGGCTTAGGGCTTAGGGTTTGGGGTTTAGGGTTTAGGGTTTAGGGTTTAGGGTTTAGGGTTCGGGGCAGGACTAGGAGAAGTGGATTGCAAGTATCAAACGGGTTCCGTTGTCCATCTTTCCAGTCCTCTCGCCTCTTGACGTTGTGTTTTTTTCAAGGTCTATTCAGGCAACCCTAAACCCTAAACCCTAAACCCTAAACCCTAAACCCTAAACCAATGAGCACAAGATCGGGTTCAAACTTCTATACCCAGCAAGGCACAGCAGCATCCGACACACGGCGGGGGCGGGCGGCCGGAAATCTCACCTGCATTGGCTCCTGGCGCAGAGAGTTTAGGATTAGGGTTTAGGGTTTAGGGTTTCGGGTTTAGGGTTTAGGGTTTCGGGTTTAGGATTTAGGGTTTCGGGTTTCGGGTTTCGGGCTTAGTACTGCGCAATATTGAATTGGCTGCCATGGCAAGCCTTCGACGCGCAGTCACGAGCCATCCATAGGGGATAGGATTAGGGGGACCCTTGGGGATATAGACCCTCTCAATAAGGTCCCTGTTTAAGAGAGTCAGAAGAGGGTTCAGAAGGGTTCCCTTTTAAGGGTCCCCCTTATCCTACCTAGGAATCCACCTGCTTCAATGTCCTTGCTCATGAGAAAAAACAACACGGCCCCACCTCAGCCCAATTCCCAACAGCTAGGGCCGCCAAAGTATGAGATCCCCGGCCCTAAGACGCAGAACCACACCCGACAGACCGGAAACACCTTTACTGGATAGACAATGGGTGGTGCCATTGGAGTTGTCGAATGCAGCCCGGTCTGGGCTGTGCCGTGCACCCAAGTGCACGGTCTCGCCCCCCGATCTTCCTGGGAGCCCTTTGCGGCAAACGAAAGGCTGGAGAAACATGTCGACGCTGTGGCAGCGCACGCGCATGCGGACCTTGAAGCTTCCCAAAGCTTCGGGTGCCACAGCGCAGGTGCGTCGACAAAGTTTGCTTGGCGGCCCCCTTGTGCTTCCAGCGGTCCACAACCTTTCTGGCCGTTCAGTGTCCTGACAGAGTTCACAGTGGTACACAGCAACGTCGTCTGTCCACGCAGGAGCTGGAGCAGCAGTTGCTGAACGACCACATTGAGGCCTTCATCAGAAAGCCTGGTTGGCAAGCCACGCAAAAAAAAATGCGCTTGCACTGCCTGCACTATTTTCTATTTGGATCCTGCAATGGTGCCCGCACGAGCGGCCACACTCCCATGGTAAATCGCGATCGGCACATAGTAACGCGAACATACTCGATGAGAGACGCAGGCGCTCCGGCCTGCTACAACACTCTCGGCCCAGTCAACTCAAGCAGGATACGCTCTTGTTGCTCCTTGTCTGGATGTATGGTCGGCACATGTCGGCACCAGGTCGTGGAGGCCCCCCATCGTCACAGTGCTCGGTGACACGCAGCAGAGCGTAGAATGCATTCTTTTTGCATCCAGGACAAGCACTCCAGCAAACTTGCAGCAAGCACAGGCCCCTTCGAGAGACGAACGAACAACACCGCCCAGCAACACCAAGGCCGCGTCCTCTCGAAGCACCATGCTGTCCACAAGTGTGAACAGCCTCCAAGGCACGCCGAAGTTGTCGACGTATGGCCCCTGCCAATGCCTGTGCTGGCGACGTCCGCCATGGCTACGTTACGCCAAGTGCTGAGCTGCTGCTGATCCCAAAGCATTGGAAGCTTGCCTTGGCTGTATGACTAGAAGAATGAGCCGCAATTTCTTGGCAGCTGCCATCATCCTTTTGCCCTAAACCCCAAACCCTATAAACCCTAAAAACTTTTAGCAACTGAGCTTGGGGGCGAGCCCTCTTACCCTAAACCCAAACCCTAATCCTCCCTCCCCAATCTCCCACTCCTCCGTGTGCGCAGAGCTTACCATAGAAGTCTGATTGGTTCTCGCCTCGCCTTCTTCGACACGTGACTCC